ACCCGCTGCAAAGGAGAGCGCCGATCAGGTTCGACGCCTGCCCCAAGTTCGAGAGTTTGTGGCCGCTGGGGGTGATTGGAGTGTCTTCAGGTGGCGCTTCGAGGCTGCCTACAAGTTGGTCCGCTGGTCGGAGGAGGAGGCGTTGATTGCCTTGCCCACCATGCTGGACGACGATGCGTTGGCCGTTTTTCGTTCCATCCCCCCAGAGAAGAAGACGCACAAAGAAGCTTTTGCTGAGATGGTGGAAGTCTATGAACCGCCAGACGACAGAAAACGAAAATTTCAGCACCGTAGGGGTGGGAGCTCCTAGTCGCCCCTCGCCTACAGAAGCGCCTTCATGGCGTTGGCAGTCAATGCCTACCCTGACGTGAAACAAGAGATCTTGGACCCGTTGGTGATGGAACGCATGTTGGTGCTGGCGAGGGACATGGGAGTCGTCCTTCCCACGTGCGGTCATGAATCGCAAACATCTCTGTGGGCCGCGCGCTGCCTGAACGCACACGATAATTTGAAGAGATGGGCACAGATGGCCGCATGAGCCGGGGATCCGGCTCGTGATGGTCAACCAATCGGCTGGAGTCCATCCAAAGTGGTGGTCATCCCCGAGGAGGTGCCGTCGGAAGGGGACGCCGCAGCAGCGGTTCCCCCGTGGAACCAGTGACGGAGGGATGGTCGGCGTCGGCAGAGCAACTACCGACCGCGGCGGGACGACAATCTGCTGCACCAGTGGCCTCCCGTCACATGCTTCAGATGTGGCCGCGTGGGCCACTACTCCAGGGAGTGCCGAGCTCGTCCAGCATCGCCGTCCGGATTGCTGACCGCGTCTCCTGTGGCCGACCGACCGCCTTCACTTGCCTCCACACAGGCAAGTTGGCACATGTCGGGCATCCGGGCACGTTCACCACCTCATCCATCTCATGTCGTTCGGAAGGGTCCATCACATCAGGGCGTTTCGCGTGATGTTCCTTGCTCGGGTACCATCACGAAGGGGTGGCCGACCACACAGACTCAATGGAAAAAATTGGCACGGAGGGTTGTTGCCGCGTCGGCGGGATCCTCGACAGTTCTGGCCACTATTCAGGGCATCGGTGTCTGTGTTTTGATTGATACGGGTGCGTCAGCCACGATAATTTCAGATGTCATTTTTCAATTGTTGTCCATCCCCGTGTCACGCGTCCGTCCGGTGTACGATGTGTGTGTCGTTGCCAATGGGGGTAGTATGGGTATCATTGGTCAAGTTGACGCACATATCGCCATAGGCGATGTCCAGGCATCAGGTCCTGTATTGATCTCACGCATGTTGGCTGTGCCGTGTTTGTTGGGCACGGATTTTCTGTTATGAATGCCGATGAAGATTCTCGTCGACCAAGGCTGCCTTGAGCTGCCTTCGGGTCGCAGGGTGTGTTTTTTGTCATCGCCGCTCCCTCGGCCGGCATCGGCCGTATTGGTTCAGGCGCTGGTGGATGCCACTATCACTGTTCCGGCGGGTTCTCAAATGTTGATTCCGCTCCATTATCGCAAAGAAATTTGTTGTGAGAGCGCGGTTAATGGTGTCTTGTTGACACCGTCAAATACTGCTACGCGGAGTTTGATGCTGGCCTGTGCTCAGACCATCCTCCGCATGGGTCAGGCTCCATTTCTGCAGGTTTTGAATGGGGGACCTGGCGATGGTGTTGTGCCCACCGGAACTGTTCATGCTCATGCCACCACCGCTTTCGCCGATCGTGAAGAGTGCACGTCGAGTCGGAATGTATGCGCTGTTGGGAAAATGTATCCTTCAGATGATCGATGAATCGCTGAGTTGTATAACGAGAACGCATCACTATCTCTGGCTCAGCGTAACGAATTGCGCAGTTTGTTGTCAGAATTTTCCGATGTTTTCAGTAAAGACGATATCGACTGGGTCGAACGTCCTTGTTGTCTCATCACATCGATACGGGTGACACTAGTCCTATTCGCCAAAACCCACATCCCATGAGCCCGTCCGAGAAAGAGAGCGTACGGCATGCTGTTGACAAAATGTTGGCCGCTGATATAATTTCGCCTTCGACTAGCCCGTGGGGCACTCAGGTTGTTTTGTTGAAGAAGAAGGATGGGAACCTTCGTTTTTGTGTTGATTTTCGGAGGTCGAATAAGGTCCCCGTGGCAGACGCATACCCTCTGGATGGATGATTCCTTGGATGCCTTGTCCGGAGCGCGTTTTTTTTTTACTCTTGATTTGTCATCCAGGTTTTGGCAACTGCCCCTTGACGAGTCTTCGAGGCATAAAACCACGTTCTGAACACCGCAGGGCCTTTTTCAATTCAATTGTTTACCGATGGGGTTGAACGCTGCTCCTGCCACGATCCAACGACTGATTGAGATCGTCCTGGCCGGTCTCCAATGGGACACATGCTTGATCTATTTGGACGATGTGATTGTGTTCAGCCGTTCGTTCAATGACCACCTCCTTCGGCTTGGCACCATTTTCAAGCGGATGCGCTCGGCAAACCTTAAGTTCAAGCGAAAAAAAGTCACCTCTTACAAACTTACGTACGATATTTGGGCCACATAGTCAGTGTGGAAGGTATCTCTACCGATCTACGAAAACGGTGTGCGTTCATGACTGGCCGGTCCCCGCGAGCGTAGGAGATGTACGGAGCTTCGTGGGCTTCACCTCCTATTATCGCCGGTTCATTCCTCGGCTTGCTTCTATTGCCAAACCGTTGCATGCCCTCACTGCTAAAAATCAGCAATTCGATTGGGGACTGGAGGAGGTAGCGTCCAATACCCTGCGCGATCAGATTGTCCGACGTGCCTACTCTCGACTATCCTGATTTTTCAACGCCGTTCATTCTTGACACCGACGCGAGGGACACGGGTATCGGTGCAGTCCTGTCGCAGATGAAGGGAGGCGTTGAATGCGTTATCACCTACGGTAGTCGGGTGTTCTTGCCGGCAGAAACCCGCTACTGTGTTACACGACGAGAGTTGCTGGCAATCGTTCATTTTGTCCGACTGTTTAGGCTGTACTTATATGGAAGGAGATTCATACTCTTTGGTTCTTTCGGTTAAGTCAGTATTCATTCAAGATTGGGCAGCCAGGCAGCCAGTTGGCACGCTGGCTTGAGGGCTTGCAGGAATTCACATTCAATGTCACTTTCCGGAAGGGTGCCCGTCACGCCAATGCTGACGCGTTGTCGCGGTTGTCACACGCACCTCGCTGTGCTTGCAGCTCCGGTACGACCCGCTGTACTCCTCATGATGTGTCTCGTCGATCAGTCATGTCCGCAGTTGAGACACTTCCGGACGAAACAGGGGTTCCGCCTGCCGACTGCGTATTGCACCTTCCGCGTTTGGTATGGTTAAGCGAGCAGTTATCGGACGACTCCTTGACTTTCTTGCGGCGATGGACCGTGCCAACCGCAGGTGATTTGAATCCAGTCAAGGACGGTCAGTTCCTGGTTCACAAGAGCTTGTTGATGTGGCAGGATGAGATATCTTTCCGGCTTTGGCTGGTTGTGCCGGAGGCTCTCCGTGTGACATTGATTTGTACGTTGCATAGTGAGCACCTTTTCCATCTTGGTGTCCAGAAAACGTTGCTTACCCTGCAGAGGGATTTTTTTTGGCCTGGTATGACATCAGACGTCACTTGTGCACTCTGATCATGCCCCAATTGCGCCAGGAGAAAATCGCACCGGCAACGTTACATTCCGCCCTTGCAATCCATTTTGGTCACACGCATTAATGAGTTGGTTGCCCTTGATGTGTTAGGACCGTTTCCTGTTACACCTCGTGGGAACAAATTTATCCTCGTGGGCGTTGAATATTTTTCTCGTTGGCCTGTGGCTTGGCCCCTGCCAGATCAATCGGCTTTGTCCATTGTGAACGCTTTCGTGAACGGTTACGTGATGGATAAAGGAGCGCCGGAAAAGTTACCCACCCGATCAGGGTAGAAACTTTTCTTCGAAGTTGTTGTGCGACGTTTGCGATGCCTTGGGGACCAGGAAGATTAGTACGTCTCCCTACCATCCTCAGACGGACGGTATGGTTGAGCGACTGAATCGCACCCTGTCCGCCATGCTGTGCCAAACGGTCAATGAGAGGCAGGTCGACTGGGATTTGCAGATACCTAGCATCCTCTCTGTGTACCGAATGGCGCCACACGCATCCACGGGGTACTCGCCATTTTTTCTCATGTATGGGAGGGAGAACATGCCGGCGGCGGATGTCCAATTGGGTTCCCCAGTCGTGTTGCTAAAAACGACTCTTCCTGAGCATGTCCAGGAGTCCCTTCGATGGGTTTCTGAGGCACGGGAAGCCACCAAATTGAATACCTCCAGGACCCAGGCGCGCAATGAACATTGTGCTTGGAGGTGCAAGGGTGACATGACATGGTCTGTTGGTGATAAGGCATGGCTTCACTGCCCACAAGTGCCTGTTGACACCTCGCACAAGCTCCACAAACCATGGCAAGGCCCTGTAAAAATTGTTGAGGTTTTGCGTCCACAGTGTGTTCGTATCTGTCATGGCCGCCGTCGTTTGTTCATTCACCCGTCGCGGTTGAAACCGTTTGTTGCTCCCGTTGGGTCATCATCATCTCCAGCAATCGGTCTCCCGGTGCCTGACATGTCCAACCGACCTGTGGCCCCTGTGCAAGGTGATCCTCCGAAGTTGTTCTCTTTACCTCCCAAAGCGCCCATGAGTGAGGCGTCAGGACCGGCGGACGACCCTGTTCTAACATGCCCACCTACATTGGACCCGGCCGTGCCGCCCCCTCCTGACCCGCTGCTGCCGGCTGCGGGAGCCTCCGCGTCAATTCCGGCTCAGGCGGATGGCCCGACTACATGGACATGCTCCAAGACGTTGCGTTTCTCCTGAGGAACTCGTCTACTTACCTGCGTGTCGGTCTCTGCTTTCTGTCCCCTTGTTGTTGTTCACATGTTTACCTTTTCTGGCGCTCCATATTACTTGATATTCCTTACTTAGCCGGGACAGCTACATTTTTTCACCACGGGGGGGGGGAGGGGGGTGATGTAATAAGCGAGCGCCATCTCCTGCATAATTGAGGGGTTTCACTTTATATACTGACAGACAGTCCATGCCTTATTAGTGACGGGGCTCTATCTGGGGGAAAGGTAAATGGGCAGAGCTAGCATGGAAGCCTCTGGAATGTTCTCAAAGATTCCTAGAGGGGCATGGTCAGAGGCGGGGCTTAGCCTCAGAAAAGGGAATATAAGCGGGGAGTAACGGACGGTTTGAGTTCGGTTGTTGAAGATCGAAGATGACCTCCCCGTCGCTGCTGCCCATCTCCACCAGCCACGTGGCGGCTCGACCACCAGCCGCTCAGCCGCTCCCCAGCGCGCCGCCAGCCAGCGGTGCGGTGATCAGGGTGAGCGCCATATGGCGCGGGGCAGCGCAGTCACGCCAAGAAAGGAACAGCGCCATCCGCATAACGAGAGGAGTCGTGGCTGTGAAGAACCTTTAATAAATAAAGTTATGCCGTGTCGGAGCCACTTATTACATTTAGAAACAACAGAATAATAAATGCTGCTGCTATTAGCCACTCCCATTTGGCCATGTGGCTGATGGGATGTGTAAATGTTATCTATTTACATGTAGGTTGAAATTTACCCATAGTTCTACATCCAGAATCAAATTTACCCAGAACACCAACACACAGCTCAGTGCCTGATGACTATTTTAAGAGCAAACTGCATATTTGAGCCCCCTAGGAGGACCTGAATTAATATCACAAGTCACCACGTGTGTCATCGTCAATGCCCTGTACAGATACATTTGTAGCAGGATGATATTTTGGGCAATGCCCCTTTCTTAACAGCAAATAGAGGGCAGAAGATTAGACTGACCTGAAGTTATATATCACAATTTATACTTTGGGGTCCTGAAAACGATGGGATTCATATATATTTAAAGTTGACAAAAGGGTTGTTTTGATTTTAAATTGGAGCAGTCATATTGGTAAACATTGAGTAGCAACCGCGAGGTCGGACAGGAATACCTAGCTTGTTGACCATTTTTATGAACAGTGATGCTAGCATTTAAAGCCATTATGAAAAGCAACAAATTGCAATGCACTTTTAGCCGTTCCCAGCACAACTTTTGACTCCTTGTTAACGTAATTTAAGTTATTGTCTGCTTTTTAGTCTACATAACAAGCAAACTATAGCATAACTTGCTACATTTCCATCTTAGCTAATCAGTGAATTCAATCGTTTTTACTTTGTGGTAATTTGCAGAATACTAACTTGTGTTGCCATCATAAACTACAGCAGCATTTTTTTTTTTAACGAGGAGCCACAATCAGGCACCCTTACCAGACATACAACGCAGCACAAACAGCGGAATGGGTTGATTGAAATACTCCTGACCAACCAGCTTTCCTACATGAAGGAGGCCTTAAAATAAAATTCATACTTAATTAATACTTAGGGGTCCGCGAACCACACGTCAGATATCCTCGATCTATTGTATATGGAACGTCATTGAGTGAGATGTTTATTGACATTTTCTTCATTCCAGATTGGAAGTGACGCATTCAACTGTCATGATGGCCGGATACAACAGAGAGCCTGGTTACGGACCACCGTCATACACAAACTCACACCGTCCTTCAACACAGTTGGTCACAGCATTCCCTGCTGGGTCATCAGGGCAGCCTGCTGGCTACGCCCGCTCCATTAGATCAGGGCGGGGGCCAAACTACAACCGGTCCCAGTCCGTGGTGTCAGGAGTGGCTCGTTCCATGTACTCACGACGTGGCTCAGGATACCCACAGTCTGTTGTTTCAGTAAAGAGTGGTGGCTACCCCCAGTCAGTTTTGTCTGGAACGGTACCTCCTGGATCCTTCTATGTTGGGAGTGAGTATCCTGAGGATATAATCGACTTCAAGTCATGGCGCTCTCCTCCACGCCTTGTACGGATCTTCCACATCCTGGTCTTAATTCTCAGCGCTGGAATTTTTGCATGCGTGGCCTCCACGCTGCCTTGGGATGTCAACTACGCAATTGGGGGTAACATTGGGGGTAACTACCCATTGTATGGACAATCTAACTATGGCCATTTCGGCATGTACCACATGTTCGCTTTTGCCAGAGGGGCCCAGGGATTCATGATGGCCATGGCAGCTATCATCCTCTTAATAGTGGGCATTTTGTTCCTTCTCAGTCTATCAAAATCTCAAAGCATGAGAAGTCAGAAGTTCTACTTGACCATTATCATCGTAAATTCATTTCTTGCCATCTTGGATTTGATTGCCACGATAGTCTACACCGTCGCTGTCAACCCCTCGACTCAAACCGCAGGCTCGTCAAGCTACCACCAAGTTATTTCGTTGTGCAGGGCTTACTATGTGCCTGCTGCCACAGGCCTCTACATCGACCCATTCCTCTACCACTTCTGTATCATGGACCCTCAGGAGGTGAGTGGTGGTAGCAGCCTGCTGGTTTATCAATTTCACTAAGGCTGCTTCTGTCGGATCAGGTGCTATAGATAAGAAACGTTCAGTGAATGGGTCAGTGGGACGCTGCTTCCCTCCTGTGACCACACGTGGCTCTCTTGTCCAACTTCACCGAGTCATTTTCCCCAAAAACAGGCAGAGACAATGACTGTCTTGAGGCTCAGAACCAACAAGTATCCTGGTCTCAATGCAAGACTTGATGCCTTTACAGACATACAGGTTAAATGTGAATCTTTAGTTTGTGTATTTGTGTATGTCATACTGGGGATCATATATGTGGGGTAGATATAGTCTGATGCCCCTTGTCTACAAATTTGACATACTGCATGTTATTTTAAAGCATCAGTTGCCAGTCCACAAAGCCCCATTTGCAGGAATGCAAGATGCAGTTGTCGTGAAAACCTTTTGTCTACAAACGTATTTTGTCTAAAAAGGGCTTATTCACAAGTCCAGGCTGACTCATCACAACATGTTTACATTTGACCAACTGTTGACAGGGTTATCAATCCAATGAAAAGACTAATTGCACTTCATTCAGACGATGCAAGAGTAAAGCTGTCAGTCTCAATGTTGCTGAAAGAGGCCAGTCAAGTAACCCCCGTGCTCCATTCCATCCCTACCCAACTCATATTCCTTGGTAAATCAGATACAAACCACCTAAGCGATAATTATAAGCACAGCTTACAAGAGAATAATAATTATTTAGATTTATCAAGCACCCTTAAATAACGGATCTCAGGGCACCGTGCATGTAATGGAGGAAGGAATACGTGAGAAGTAGCCGTGGAGAGAAAGACTAAGGTAACAAAATATGCCTGGATGTTGAGGTTCTTTCATACCATACAAAGCCAACCTTGATAATCGGAGGTGCATGGGAAGGACATCTAAACACAAAAAAGAGTTATAAAGAAATTGGCTTTCAATCTAGATTTAAAAGTGCATAGCTCTAGTGGATTCATAATATATTAAGGAAAACATTCCAGACGGTTGCAGAAGCGCATTTGAAAGGGAGCGATGCAGTTGCACGTCTTTGTTCAATGGTTAGCCCAAATAGAGAACTAAGTTAGAAGCCTGGAGCACAGTACGCGGACTAGGGCACAATTGGTAGATCTCAGTAGAGTGTGGCTGAATCAACATCGTAGAGCGTATGGCTGAATACAATCCTGGATGTATGGAGGAAGCTCAATAGAGACTCACTCACCAAAGTGTATGAATTGTGTTTACTGTCACTGTTGATCTTAACAAAAACATTAAAAGACACGGTATGTACACATACATCACACCCAAAAACTGCTGTGGAGTGATGCCCACTTGCCTCATCTCACCACTACAGGCAGTCGCAGTCGCTTGTGGATTCGTCTCCATGATCTTTCTCATCGTCGCCTCTGTCTACGCTTTCAAGACGCGCAGTAAAATGTGGAAGTATGGCAAGGATTTCATAGCATGGGACAACGATTATGGGAAAAACATTGAAAAATGGGTGAGTGTGTTTACATTTTAACCTGCAAAGGCAATGTTTAACCTGTAGTTGTATAGTGTGTATATGAAGTTTATTATCTCCCGCAAAAAACTCAATATCCAATATCGTGGGGTATCAGTAGGCTCAACTGACAATCGCAACATTAGATCTCAAATCCCGATTGGACATTGGCTTAGCCTGTCCACCCCTCTGGGGTTCATAAGTACCACCCTGAAAAAGAGAGAACGCCTACTGCAGAGAAGAACATCATTGCCTGTCCGTTACGTGGCACATTGCGCACGTGTTTTGTTGAAGGTGGTACCGGTGACGATAGTAGTGGCGAACTCGCGCTCTGTGCCGTTGTGTTTGTTTCACTAAGATGAGTCAAATGGACCTGGAAGCCCAGGGGATGTCGGAGTCTCCCGTGGGCTCCGAGGGATCCAGCTACGGCGATGGCGCCACGTTCACCAGCGAGGCGCAAGTGAGCTACGTCCCCCGGACTGCCTCCCGCGGCAACATCTTCGGCACCGCCGATGCCCGGTGAGGTGATGTAGGCAGGCACAATCTGTACTTATAACCAGGCAAGAGTACATTGGACATCTGTGAATAAATAACTTTGTAGCTCTCGCATTCCTTCAGTATAAATAAATATTCTGACATTCGACGAACCTGAGACATGTATTTGGTGCACCTAAAACCAGGTGAACCAAATACAGCAAAACAGCCAGCACCTCCTAATGGCAATACAGATGTAATAAACGACTTCTACGACAGGTTGAGACTTGCGTCCTTTATTTAGTGATGACTGCTCGGCTCCGCACTCCCTTTCTGGATGGTCACCCTCTCTCTCTCTCGCCGCATGGACACGCTCACTGCTCCTCCATTCCCACGTGGCTTCCCTCACTCTCTCCCTCGCGCACCGCTGGTCGACGGCGCGCAGGGAGTGGGGAGAGCTTCGGCCATCGAGACTGCCACATGGCCGGTGGCGTTATGAGATGGTGGAGATGCAGTCCAGACTCTCAGGCTCCCACACCGATCCCGAGTCCTCCCCTTGCCTCTCCTTATATCCCTCTCGGTGGAGCCAAGTTCCGCCTCTAACCACGCCTCCCTCAGAACTTTCCCAATGGTTCCCACATGTACCCATGAGCTCCGCCCATGAACTTTGGCCCAGATGGAACCATTAGCCCTGATTGGCTATGACTGATGCAGCAGTGTCTATGCAGCCCTCCGTCGCCCGTCGGTGTGCTCTCTCATTACACAGAAAATACCTTGTGAAACATGTGCAACACAGGTGATTCGGTGTTATGAGGCTTGTGTTCAAGTAGTTACATTTGTGGAATTTGTGGATCACCAGCAGCAGTCAAAATCTATCCTCTGCTAGATGGTATCCAAAAGCTATCATCTCCAACAGTTTCATGATGCAACCCATGTGGCTCCAGAACACGATATTCTCTCATCACTCCATCTCTCCAGTAGACGTGCTCGTGGGCATTGTTCCTTTGTCTTGTTAGCCACTTGTTAGCCACTTGTTAGCCTCGACCACCAGCCATCATCCCTCCTAGTCGTCACGTGTGCTGCCCAGGAGTATTTCCTTGAAGCATGTATTTATGGTAACCGACAAGTGCATGTCCAAATAACCCCAAGTGTTTGGTTGCGCGGCCCTCTACACTTCGTCAATTTTACTCTTGAAGTGTGGGGCTACACAGACTTGTTGACTCACAGTTACAAACAGCCACGCTGCAAATTTATCTCGTGTAAAATGGGCAGAAAATTATGGTTTATTTTAGTCTTTCTGTTTTTTATTCTCTGGTTGATTAAACCATTCCCACTTTTAGACTTTCGATTGGGGCGGGGAGGGGAGGTCTTACCTCAGACATCGCAATAACGTTCTATCGCACTCACGTGTGACGATCAGTACAGCACTTTTAACATACACAGCGATTCCTCCCCGACTCACCCTGTCATTGGTCTCACGCTGTCACGAGAGCAGCAGTTCCCAACCTGTGGTTCACAGAATAAGTGCGTTTGATCATTTATTATTGTGAACTCTTATGAATCCAGTCCATCACGAATGCGGATTAATTACACATAGCAAGCTCTTTGGAAAGCATTGTTTTAAGGCAGATGAAAAATTGGCTCAAGACTCAAGGATGGATCCCAAACTGGTTCAAGGTCTGATAATTGTTTTTTTACCCTTTTATCTGGCAACAAAACTGACACCTTTTTAGATTTGAAGTTTTCGTGACTGCAAGGATCCATACTCTTTGGTTCTATTCGGTAAAGTCACGTAGGTAAAAAATAAAACAACAAAAATCACGACGTTTCGGCCACAACACAAGTGGCCTTCATCAGGTGAAGGGGACCGTACTGTCACAAGGACAGCGTTGGAGTGAAGACAGTCCAGCCCAGGTCGCGTCCTTTTAAGCTTGTGGTCGCGGCATCTTTTGAGGAAGGTCAGCGTCTCGATGAGCTGTGACTTCTTGTCCCGTTGTCTGTTAAAAGCTCTAACAGATAGGTGAAAGCCCTCCCCGTAGAGGTTATCAATTCTAGATTTGAAGCTTTCGTGACTGCAAGGATCCATACTCTTTGGTTCTATTCGGTAAAGTCACGTAGGTAAAAAATAAAACAACAAAAATCACGACGTTTCGGCCACAACACAAGTGGCCTTCATCAGGTGAAGGGGACCGTACTGTCACGAGGACAGCGTTGGAGTGAAGACAGTCCAGCCCAGGTCGCGTCCTTTTAAGCTTGTGGTCGCGGCATCTTTTGAGGAAGGTCAGCGTCTCGATGAGCTGTGACTTCTTGTCCCGTTGTCTGTTAAAAGCTCTAACAGATAGGTGAAAGCCCTCCCCGTAGAGGTTATCATTTCTAGATTTGAAGCTTTCGTGACTGCAAGGCTCCATATTCTTTGGTTCTATTCGGTAAAGTCACGTAGGTAAAAAATAAAACAACAAAAATCACGACGTTTCGGCCACAACACAAGTGGCCTTCATCAGGTGAAGGGGACCGTACTGTCACGAGGACAGCGTTGGAGTGAAGACAGTCCAGCCCAGGTCGCGTCCTTTTAAGCTTGTGGTCGCGGCATCTTTTGAGGAAGGTCAGCGTCTCGATGAGCTGTGACTTCTTGTCCCGTTGTCTGTTAAAAGCTCTAACAGATAGGTGAAAGCCCTCCCCGTAGAGGTTATCAATTCTAGATTTGAAGCTTTCGTGACTGCAAGGATCCATACTCTTTGGTTCTATTCGGTAAAGTCACATAGGTAAAAAATAAAACAACAAAAATCACGACGTTTCGGCCACAACACAAGTGGCCTTCATCAGGTGAAGGGGACCGTACTGTCACGAGGGCAGCGTTGGAGTGAAGACAGTCCAGCCCAGGTCGCGTCCTTTTAAGCTTGTGGTCGCGGCATCTTTTGAGGAAGGTCAGCGTCTCGATGAGCTGTGACTTCTTGTCCCGTTGTCTGTTAAAAGCTCTAACAGATAGGTGAAAGCCCTCCCCGTAGAGGTTATCAATTCTAGATTTGAAGCTTTCGTGACTGCAAGGATCCATACTCTTTGGTTCTATTCGGTAAAGTCACATAGGTAAAAAATAAAACAACAAAAATCACGACGTTTCGGCCACAACACAATTTGCCTTCATCAGGTGAAGGGGACCGTACTGTCACGAGGACAGCGTTGGAGTGAAGACAGTCCAGCCCAGGTCGCGTCCTTTTAAGGTGTCAGTTTTGTTGCCAGATAAAAGGGCAAAAAAAACAATTATCATATTTTGTTACTGGCAAATGAGGTTTCCAATGGTGTAAATGCTTACCCCGAGCTCTCATACTCTGATGGAGCATTGCCTTTGAGTTGTGAGCCTTTTGGCGTCTTCTGGTCCAACACCATGTGAGACGAGGCTCTAAAGAAAGCTGTCTTGGGTGTGGACCAATCAATTTCAAGGACAGTGCATACATTATCAGAGTTGTTGTTTTTTGTTTGCGTTCCGACCGCAGGTATTGTGGTCAATGTAAACATGACTCCTTGTAAAAAAGGTGTCAGTTTTGTTGCCAGATAAAAGGGTAAAAAACTAATTATCATATTTTGTTACTGGCAAATGAGGTTTCCAATGGTTCAAGGTCTTCAGGCTGCAGACCCTGACACTGCGCTGGCCATATCGCCATACAGGGGTTGCGCATGGGTCCAGCAGTAGTTGATCACCGAGGGCTGCTGATTGCAGAAGGCGTCGATTCCGGTCCGTTGAGGCTGCTGGTCCACAAGGCCATGGGAAGCAGTCCGTGAAACTGTTGCAGATGCATTTTCACTTTCACAATTTGATGTTACTGGTGTACTGTTGTATATGTGAAAATAATGAAAATTAAATGAAATTTGAAACCTGCATAATGTATCCGAAATTATGTTAATTTGTGTAATTATGCATATAATGTATGCTAATTCGAGGGATAATCGTATTAATTTATACGAGTGGGTGTGGTTATGTTAATGACAACCTTTATGATAATCAGGCCCCGCCTCGTTGACGAGGTGGGGTTATCAATCGGGATAATGCAATCAATCGTGATAATGCAATCAATCGTATGCAGTTATGCTAGTATCAACTCGGCTTCGTTGTCTAACTTCGTAGTATCGATCAATCACTTCTGTATTAATCCATTTTATTTTCTAACTAAACATTAACTTTATAAGTTGTTAAAACATGCAAATGCTATGCTAAACAAAAGCTTATACAGTATAATATGAACGATTATTATGCTTGAAATCGTCAGCACAGTATCACAGGCGATTGATAAACATGCAACGGTATTCATAGAAAAAGACGATCAAACAGTTATTATTTCCAAAGGCATAAATGTAACAACAGATCCACCGGACAGATTATAGGATTACCAAAATGGCTTAGTGTGAGGGTGTGCGGCGGGACGTGCTATCTCATGGGAGATTAATTAATTCGTGAACAAGATTGTATGATCAGAAAATCGGTTTAGCACGATTCCTCCCCGGGAGCGTAGCTCCGTGGTGAAGGTGCCAAGGATTCATTCGTATTGATGGATCGGTTGGTAACTTATGCGATTAGAAGTACAGCCCAAAACAAAATATTAAAGAGGAAAATTATGAATATACTTATAAACGACGGAGTGTTCACCCCTGTCCGCTGTGGTGCCCTCACGGCAACTGATGATCTACGGACTTGAATATTGGCGTTTTGGTCGAGGACCCGTGTATGCGTAAATGATATGAATTGTCTTGTGGCGTCAGTCCTATGTCAATGCAGACACCTGACTTGTCGTGTAGTGGGGGGCAATGTGCGTCATACGTATACGTTAATTCTTTCAAGATAGTCGGTTCGGTTTGGCCCACACACAGGTTGACAGGTTGACGAGTTGACAAGTTGACAGGTTGAAAAGTTGACACGTTGTAGTTGCGAGTTTATGTCGGTAGATGGCGCTCACAGCACGCTCATTGCGGCGCGGCTGAGCGCTGGCGATACACGTTGTTGTAGTTGCGAGTTTATGTAGGTAGATGACGCTCACAGCACGCTCGTAGCGGGCGCAGCTGACGGCGCTCTGTGGCTGACGGCGCGCTCTGCCCTGCTGGCAGATGCCGAGCTGGTAGAAGCCCCTCTGGACTAATGAGCCGAGCTGCTCTTAGCCCTTGCTGATGATGAGGTCGTAGCAGAGCCGAGCTGACCCGCCGGTCGCAGCTCGCTCTTGAGTCGACCCTTAGGTCGAACTCTCTGATGAGCCGACCCACCGGTCGAACTGAATTCGCTTGTTGGAGCGTCTCACTTTATGTCAAAATCTCTCCCCTTGGCTCCCTCCACAAGGTGGGGCTTCTTTTGATTTTGTTGTGTCATGATCTGTCCGTATGTGTGTTAGTGTGTCCTTGTGTGCATCACCCACGGCATATTCCGCTGTCCTTCCATAAACCATCAAAAAGTAAAACAACCAGACATTACAAATGTCTCGAAGGAGGCGTCTCTCTGTCTGCCTCTCTGTCTGCCGGCGCGAGAGGGAGGGAAAGCTTTCCTCCCTGCATGTCATGTCCCCGACACACAAGGGAATGGTTAAAAAGTTTTAAGTTAACATTTCATTTCACCACCGTTCCACAGTTATGATTTGGTATGTAACCCAAGGTCTGTGTCAGCTTCCCATTGTGGTGTTTGACTCATGTCAAGGGAAGGTGTTTTCCCGAGTGTATACACACTCCTACCCCGCGCTGCGGGGAGACAAAGACGGCCGGGGTCTCTTTCTCTCTCTGACCCTGGGTTTAACATCGCTTAAGTCATGTAGTTTGTGTTTAACAAAGTTATATAAGCGGAGTGTAGTTCACGGTGAATAGCGCCAACTCTAATGTTGTATGAGTTATACCTGGTTCCTTTAACTGAACTCCCTGCCCCACTCCCTCGCTGTCTCCCCTCAGTCTCTCTACACTCTCTGGCCCCCACTCTCTGCCCCCACTCTCTCTACTCGCGCCGTTGTTGTCGCAGTCCTGCTGACGCCGCCAATTCAAGGCCTCATTAATTTTCGTCATTGTGGTGAGGGAGTGTCAACCTTGGAGTCAGTTCTGGTTTTCGTCTGCCTGCTTCAGCACTTGTCCTGTGACCTCTGACCCCGGGAGTTATTATTTATTTAATTCGATGGCCCGTCTAAGCCCCGACTTGCTGTTGCTGTGGCTGCTTGGGGTTGTTTTATTCATTATTTTTAAAAGAAAACAATAGAAATATGTATCCATATGTATCGTAAAATATTGTTAATATCAAGATGGAAAAACGGGGCATATATACAACAGTACGGTGATCCGCAAACTCTTTTTGAGAGTTCACAATGATCCGCGAGTCCAGAAACGTTGGGGACCACTGCTCTCATCAATCTCACTTCACCCACTAGCCACTCTCACTACTTATCTAACGACTTAAGATAAGTGTATACCAGTGTGTTGTCATGGTGGATAGTGAGCAATATAATACAGACAAGAGAGTTTACCAGATACAAATTATACTGCATTCGTTGGTGCACAAAAAAATAATAGGCGGATGGACCAAAACATAATTGAATGTTTTGGAGATTTGATAATTCAATGCTGAACTAGCAACTCGACTGATTGGTTGAGTTAACTATTGAAGTTTTCCATGTGTTACATAGATATACACATTTAATTTACATTGGAAGAACCCGAAAACCAATGAAGCTCTTTTTCACAGGCCAGCCAAAGCAATGGTAGAAAATTTACAGAGGAAATTAACATATGCATATAAATTAAACATTGACACTCAAACTTGAACAAAACAGAATATAGAAAAAAGTAACAGCAATCATACAAAATATTGAATGGATAAATTGCACTTGCAAATCATAGTTGCAAATCTAGGTTCCAAGTGACAGTTGTGAATGTGGTTGGAGTCAACATCAAACAAGAGTTAAAGAGCATTTCTTTATGGTGACTCAATCAGACTGAAACGGCACAAGGGGATTCCATAGAGAATGTGCAATAGCACAATCTTTGGTACCAAGTTCGAATCTTGTTATAGAGACATAGTTCACAATTTGATATTTGTGTTATATTCTTTGGTTTGTCAGTGGTGTAAAAAGTTGGCTAAATGCAGTACATATCTTCCATTAAGAATGTTACAGATGCATATCTAAAACATAAACCAAATAATAATTGACAGATGGATCCTATGTGAATGTATTACCAGGCCGTGGGAGGGTAGAGAGCGAGCATCCAGCCGGGGAATGTACGATGCTGACCAGGCTGGGTCTGAAAGCCCGGGCGACGGACAGAGTGCAACTCTGGAGGTCACGGGAAAGCAAGCCATTAAGAGAGCTCAGCAGAAGAGGAAAACCCAGCGGATTCAAAGATATGGAACGGAGGCATCTCTGTATGAGACCGACTACACCACAGAGCCCGAGTCCAGCCCAGAGGAAGAGAATGAGTTAATGAGGTAAGCAATAGGTGGTGCGCTCAACATTGTTTATTCAGTAACAGAAGGAGGCGTCGAGTATACATTTCACATTTTTAAGCTGGCCCTCCACTGTCTACCCAACGGTATAAATGGGTACGCGACAGTTTTTCAATCGGCAGAATGAGTGTGGTGGGGTAAAGTGTGGGTGCTCCCAGCTCTTTTAACACGTTTGTTCAATGTGGAAGAGTAGACCAAATATCCTCTTGGGCTTGCTCTAGCAAAGACCCTCCCTCCTGGTAGTATCTTTACCTTTCTTTGAATGTGCCGATTGCCTGCAGGCTCTACCCCAGCATTGCTTCGAGCACCACGAGGCAGAGCTACAGGCAGCAGTTTGAGAGTGACATGAGCGAGTACCGCAGCCTGCACGCCGAGCTCAGGGGCATCTCGCAGAGGCTCGAGCAGCTCAACGCTGAGCTGGACAGACTCCCGGAGGACAGCGCACAATACCAGGTACACATGCTCGGCGATGCGACATCCAGCTACCCTGTGCTAGTGTCAACAATTAAAATGTCAAACATATGCAATCCACACACGTACAAATGCACGTGTCAAAGCATGATATTTTGCACTGTCATGCCCTAGACTGCTGTTAGAATGCACTCGTGTTTGTTCAAGAACTTTAAACTCTCACAGCTCTGAGCTGGTAATAGTTTTTGAAATGTTGACACTCGATTGCTATTTTTCAAGTTTGGAGTGAATGAATCCTCCAGTTTAAAGAATTCTCCGAAAGTGGGGTCACAAACAATTTCACAAACTATTATTGAATCATGTGTAACAATTATTGCACATAAATCATTGCCACATACCTTGAGAGTAAGAATCCATCTTAATATATTGTTACATCCCAACAGATTCTAGACTTTCCTCAGTTAAACCCCAGTGTTCTACTTGCATTTAAGCACAGGAGTGTACAGGAGCTTCATTCTGAAACTTCCATAACACAGTTTTTGTTGTGCCTCATATATCTCTCACACAACTGCCTTACTCTTGTCTCCCAGCCTGTCATATGAGTGTATGGTGCACTCTGCATTTATTCAAGCTCTTTAAGTGTAAATCCAATTTATACAATTCGTTATTTTCTTTGTCACTGGCTATCAGACCAAGGCCATCGAGTGCCATATGCTCATTAAACTTGGTTCATTCTGGTCAGGGAGCAGATGATCTGAACCCAGGACCTTAGTCGTGTCAACTCAGTGCTGTGAGCTAACCTGCCATCTTGAGGAACTCGATAGAACATAACCACTTACCCACTTCTGCGGGCTGCCGAGTTTGTATTCATGTTTTATTTTGTCATATTTGTATATTCTTATCAAATAATTTCCAATTTTAGCATTCAGAGCAGATTGAGTGGCAAAATATATCATGCAATGGGTTACTTTTATATAGCCAAGTGTGCCTATACTGTACTTGGGAACCTGGATTGCTGAAACCCAGATTTGAATCTGTCATCTCAGTTGTGCTGACTCTGTGCTTCTCCTCGAAGACACCTGTGTGACCATCAACCACATCAAACATTAGCAGGCCAATGCAAACATCTCCATCATTAATGGAAAATTTAAGCCAAGCCACAGTCGTGCGATTGTGGCCATTCAAACCAAACTATGGACCATATAATAAACCCAAAGTAACAGATAAAGATACATAGAGACCCATAGAGATAATTAGACACGTAGATGCAAATAGACAGAGATAGTCTCAAAGATACATATGTATGAACTCATATAGATATACTCAGACACACTGGAGCTATACAAATAGACATATACACCCATATAGACACAGAGTTACATAGAAACTCATGGAGATACAGAGACCCATAGCTATGTTAAAGGTAAGCCACACAGCGACTGTGGCCATTCAACCCAAACTATGGACCGTATAATAAACCACTGTGGTGTGCGCTTCTTCAATACAGCAATAATAAAACTACACCAACTCTCCTGAAGCCCTCTCGTCGTGGCTAGCAGACCCTGACATTGGCATTTAGCTCCTCAACCATATTACTGTCACGATGATGTGCAAGAATAGACGAGTGCTTCAACATGGCTATTGTGAGCCCCAGAGGCGAATGACCGCCTCTGTGATTATACATTCACGTGCTGTGTATATTGGTATTGGAGAAGTGTCAAAGACAAATCAAGATTCAAATCAAGACAAAATGTAAACTTGCATTGTCAACTTTGTTTCAGAATGTTGCTGAAGAATACAACAAGATAAAGGACGTTAAGCGGGTGAGTTATGGATAATACAGTGAGGGAAAAAAGTATTTGATCCCCTGCTGATTTTGTACATTTGCCCACTGACAAAGAAATAATCAGTCTATCATTTTAATGGTAGGTTTATTTGAACAGTGAGGGACAGAATAACAACAAGTAAATCCAGAAAAACGCATGTCAAAAATGTTATAAATTGATTTGCATTTTAATGAGGGAAATAAGTATTTGACCCCCTCTCAATCAGAAAGATTTCTGGCTCCCAGGTGTCTTTTATACAGGTAACGAGCTGAGATTAGGAGCACACTCTTAAAGGGAGTGCTCCTAATCTCAGCTTGTTACCTGTACAAAAGACACCTGTGCACAGAAGCAATCAATCAGATTCCAAACGCTCCACCATGGCCAAGACTAAAGAGCTCTCCAAGAATGTCAGGGACAAGATTGTAGACCTACACAAGGCTGGAATGGGCTACAAGACCATTGCCAAGCAGCTTTGTGAGAAGGTGACAACAGTTGGTGCGATTATTCACAAATGGAAGAAACACAAAAGAACTGTCAATCTCCCTCGGCCTGGGGCTCCATGCAAGATCTCACCTCGTGGAGTTGCAATGATCATGAGAACGGTGAGGAATCAGCCCAGAACTACACGGGAGGATCTTGAAAATGATCTCAAGGCAGCTGGGACAATAGTCACCAAAAAAACAATTTGTGACACACTACGCCGTGAAGGACTGAAATCCTGCAGCGCCCGCAAGGTCCCCCTGCTCAAGAAAGCACATATACATGCCCATCTGAAGTTTGCCAATGAACATCTGAATGATTCAGAGGACAACTGGGTGAAAGTGTTGTGGTCAGATGAGACCAAAATGGAGCTCTTTGGCATCAACTCAACTCGCCATGTTTGGAAGAGGAGGAATGCTGCCTATGACCCCAAGAACACCATCCCCACCGTCAAACATGGAGGTGGAAACATTATGCTTTGGGGGTATTTTTCTGCTAAGGGGACAGGACAACTTCACCGCATCAAAGGGACGATGGACGGGGCCATGTACCGTCAAATCTTGGGTGAGAACCTCCTTCCCTCAGCCAGGGCATTGAAAATGGGTCGTGGATGGGTATTCCAGCATGACAATGACCCAAAACACACGGCCAAGGCAACAAAGTAGTGGCTCAAGAAGAAGCATATTAAGGTCCTGGAGTGGCCTAGCCAGTCTCCAGACCTTAATCCCATAGAAAATCTGTGGAGGGAGTTGAAGGTTCGAGTTGCCAAACGTCAGCCTCGAAACCTTAATGACTTGGAGAAGATCTGCAAAGAGGAGTGGGACAAAATCCCTCCTGAGATGTGTGCAAACCTGGTGGCCAACTACAAGAAACGTCTGACCTCTGTGATTGCCAACAAGGGTTTTGCCACCAAGTACTAAGTCATGTTTTGCAGAGGGGTCAAATACTTATTTCCCTCATTAAAATGCAAATCAATTTATAACATTTTTGACATGCGTTTTTCTGTATTTTTTTGTTGTTATTCTGTCTCTCACTGTTCAAATAAACCTACCATTAAAATTATAGACTGATCATTTCTTTGTCAGTGGGCAAACGTACAAAATCAGCAGGGGATCAAATACTTTTTCCCTCACTGTACATATTCAATCATAACCATACTCTTCGTATATATAGCTTATGGAATAATAAGAGAACCATTGCATAACATGTGATAGAGCCCTGCTGTTGATCACTCGCTGCACCTGTGTCGTGTTGTGATGAGAAAGTCCGTGCATTTCGTGTTGTGATGAGTTAGTCCACACTCGTCATGTTGAATGAGTCCACACTTGCTGTGTTGTGATGCATGCTGCACTTGCTGTTGTGATGCATGCCGCACTTGCTGCTGTGATGCATGCCGCACTTGCTGCGTTGTGACGAGTGAGTCCGCACTTTCTGTATTGTGATGAGTGAGTCCGCACTTTCTGTGTTGTGATGAGTCCGCACTTGCTGTGTCGTGATGATTAAGTCCACACTTGTCGTGTTGAATGAGTCCACACTTGCTGTGTTGTGATGATTTAGTCCACACTTGTCGTGTTGAATTAGTCCACACTTGCTGTGTTGTGATGAGCAAGCCGCACTTGCTGTGTTGTGATGCATGCCGCACTTGCTGTGTTGTTGATGAGTGAGTCCGCACTTTCTGTGTTGTGATGCATGCCGCGCTTGCTGTGTTGTGATGAGTGAGTCTGCACTTGCTGTATTGTGATGAGTTAGTTTAACACGTCGGCTTTTGTGACCAATATCATCCATAATATAGGTTTTTGTTGGGTTAGAGCACGTAAATACAGCAAGTGCAGACTAACTCATTACAACACAGCAAGTGCAGACTCACTCATCACAACACAAGTACAAATTCACTCATCACATAATATAGGGTTTTTTGGGGGTTAGAGCGCGTAAATATGAATGTGTCGTTAAACCCGCCACCACCCAACACAGCCAATTAGTAAGGTTTGTCACGTAAACAGAACATGCCAATTCGTTACTAGTATGGCACATCGGTTGGTTGAAGAGCAAATCCACATCAGAGTACGACGTTTTGCCAGTAATTACAACTAGCTTCATCAGGCGACAGTGTAGCTATCCGAACGATGAAACTTATTTTTATTTCTTTCAATTTCGATAGATTCTCTAATAAGTCTTGGTCAGTAGTAACTAGTTATGCACATAACTTCAACATTATCAAAATCAAGTGAGTATCCTTGTTGGCACGCATGTTCTGCTACTACCGACAGTTGTATTTGGGAGTATTTAATATTTATTTGGTGTTCTTTTAGTCTCATGCTGATCATTTGTCCTGTCTGCCCAATATAGCATTTGACACAAGTGCAATGAATCCAGTACACACCTTCTGTTAATAGCTTCGGCAATACATCTTTAATACCAGATATTTATATGTACCGTGCCAAATCTGACTCTGATTTTTAGTTTTTCCAAACATCTGGCTAGTTTATCAGTAACTCCCGCAATGTACGGTATTTTAATAGTTTTAATTACTTGGTCAGTTTCAACTCTCATGTTATTTGATTTGATTTTGGCATTCAGTGCCCTGTTGATTTTTGCATCATTGTAACCGTTCAATTGCGGCGCTTCTTGAACAAAAGTGGCGTTTTTGTACAAAAAATGTCCTGCTGTGGTTTTCACACCTGATGATGATTGCTTGTGTTGCAATCGAAACGTCATGATAATTTTATTGTTTTATTTTTGATTAATTTATTACTTCTCTTCTACGTGACTTTATCGAAAGAACCAAGAATATGAATCCCTGCAGTCACGAAAGCTTTAAATCGAAATTTAGTGTTCAGCTAGCCGTGGGATATCTTTGGCTTTACCCGTGTTCGTTACCAGAGTATCGAGTAATTTAATGTTGACTGGAACCTTCGTGAACAGAGAAGTCACATAAAAACTTACGAGAATGTCATTAGGGTTAATATCTTTAATTATATTTCCGAAATGTTCTAAGTTTTTAATCAACGAAGAGGTCCTACCGATGTAGGGCTGTTTGTTTCGTTACATATTGTGCTCATTTGTATGTGGCAGAGCCTATTGTACTAACTATGGGTCTTAATAGGACATCAGGTTTGCAAATCTTCGTTAGCCCACAAAGTATTGGTGGTTTTGACGTCCTTGGATTGATCAGGCATTGCTCTTTCTTGGGAATTGATGACTTAGCAATGATTGCCGTTGTCTTACGTTCCAAGGTGTTGGTTGGGTCTCGTTTAATTCTAAGGTACCTTCATCGAGTAAATCTTTGATTTTATTATCGTAATCCTCACGAGGCATCACAACAGTTGATCAGCCCTTATCAGCAGCAAGAATTTTGATATCTTTATTTGCTCTCAGTTCTCTAAAGGCTTTTGCCTCACTAAAACTAATATTTGTTTTTGGCAATTTACTGTTCTCAATAATTTTGGCAACCTCATGCCTCATCGTCCTCAGATTGTAAATGTTGTAGATTTGCTCTCCAACACACCGGTGTGTTGAACTAGTAACGAATTGACATGTTCTGTTTATGTGACAAACCTAACTAATTGGCTATGTTGGGTGGTGGCGGGTTTAACGACACATTCATATTTACGCGCTCTAACCCCCAAAAAACCCTATATTGTGTGATGAGTGAGTCTGCACTTGCTGTGTTGTAATGAGTTAGTCTGCACTTGCTGTGTTGTGAATAGTGAGTCCAGCTTGCCATGTTGTGTTGCTTGTTCTCCAGGGCCAGCAATACCAAGAGAAGAAGCGTCTCTGCCGGGAGCTGAAGGTGCGGCTCTCACACATCAAGCGAGCTGTGGAGGCCTATGACCTGCAGCAGCAGCAGGCACTGTGAGCCTCCCTTGCACATGGGAGGCCATGGAGTAGCTGGAGAGAGTTTTGTAGCCGAGCTGTGCAGTTCAGATGACATTTTTGTTAAAGTTACTCTAATAAAAAACATCTGAAGGAAGCATTGATTAGCAATTAACATATTCCCTTTAATAGATAACATTATAACGATAATTAATGTCAAGGGAAAAACATAGGTATGCTGTAAATGTATAAAGAATAATGCATTGAAACCCTCATTGACACAGTGCAAGCGCTTGTACGAGGTGGAATCAGTTGTGAAACAAATTTCCAAGATTATTATATGAACAGTTTTCAAGGTCATATATCACACTAAAATATATAGGGACATCTCTCCCACCTGGACCCTTTGTTTCTCCATTTCACATTCATTTTGCCGAAAGGTTCCTTATATTAGCAGCTCCCAGTGAGGCCTGGAAACCATCATACGATGTTATTGCAGTTGTGATTACATTAGTTGAATCTTCCCTGTTATTAATTGCTTTCAAATGTAATTTTGGAAGAAAATATGTTGATATGGAAAAAGGTGAGACTGCTAGCAGAGGGAAATATAATCACTTCATACTTATATACACTCACAGACTGCACTCTTGGCATGTGTATGTATAGTCTACATATGCATATACTGTACACTCTTCGAAGACAAAAGTCCCACTGTTTCTGGGGTCAGCTGCTCAGATTTTCTTTCTCTCAGAGCTTCTATTCTGTTTCTTCTCTATCCGCATCCTTCCATCTTGCCCTCAGTGTCTCTCTATTTTACTCCCTCTATTTTACTCCCTCTGCACTGATGGCATTTCCAAAGCCCCTCTAATCTGAGTCGATGTTAGTCTTTGAGTCTCTGTGCAAGTTTATGGGTCTCTAATCTCCATGGTCCTTCCAATTGCACCTTTGTGTTTACTCAACACATGCTCAAACAGAGTTTCACCTCCCTCACCTTTTATAGAATATTACCAACCCTTGCCAAGACTATATCCTCTTCATTCCACCTCCTTTCCCTGAAAAATATTCAGCATGCTCATCTCTGACGTGTCAAGCAGTGTCTCGTTGCTTTCTTAGTGTATATACATGCCCTCGTACCATACAACTGGACCTATATATTTTCACTTTCAGTTCCCGAAACCTCTCTCCGTTTATACCATCATGCCCCAACTGTTTTGCCATCTGCCCCAGAATGTTGTGTGATAACCCACACAAAGAACCTGGGTGGGCCAGACATGCAAGCCTACACTGGCAACCAAACTAAGAAGACACCGTTAATCAAAGAATAATACCGGCCTCCATGCAGAAATACAAATAACTTAATGCGAAGCATGGGCAACTCGTGACCTCAATTCTCAACATGCAACTCCAGACGCCAAAAATTAGTACATGCAATGCACATCATTGTATGTTAACTCCAGACAAACAAGAGACGAAGATAACAGCTGACCAAGTTAGAGTTAAACTAAATTATCTAAAATATCGGGAATTCAGGAAAACCACAGGTCACTGTACTGGGATCAATGAAGGCCAGAATAAAGTCAGGTAAAATAATACCGTAATGTAATAAACTCCACAAACCCTTGCTCTAAAGCAAAGAGACAAATATACTCGATTTTATTGCCGTTATTTTTTTTGTATTTTAATGTAAACTGTCAACTTTAGTTTTTGTTGGACTGATTCCACTTTGCTCTGTTCCATTAAGATTAATAATTTTTTCTTTTTTATTATCAGACACCAGGACAGTGCCATTCGTGAAATGTACATTTATAAGATGTTTACCATTGACATTCCACAATTATCATTTCATTTATTTTTTAAAACATGTTTCTAGTTTGCTATAAGTTTGGAGATAGAGGATCACCTTGTTTTACTCACTTCTGTATAACTGCACGCTCTAGTTTGATGTGAGCAATACTTTCACTGTAGAGGTTCCTCAGAATGCAAGTGTATTTTTTTCCAAATCCTTGATGTTGTATAATCAATTGTTCTGTATAATCAAACTCTTCATTGTGGTATATGAAAGCTATGTATAAAATGTTTTAGTTGTATTGTACTCATATTGCTCTGATTTATTAATTATATCCTATTATCCTATTTCAGTCTATACAGTACTGTATTAAACATGCCAATCACCTTACACAACAAGCACACATTCGCCTCGATTTGGCAGGTGCTGTCACTGTTCAGTGTGCAGTAAGCACGCACACACTGGCAGCACGAATTCATTCGTTTAATCAAAGCCTGACTCAAGCCCGAGAGAAAGTACTTGCACCATGAAGATGCAGTGGCGAGATTAGCTTGTTTGCAGGAACGATGTATTTCGGCATCACGGGCCATTGAGGGATGGCAACGCCCTATATGTCTTCAACATCTGATTGACCGTAACTAATATTAATAAGAATTTCAACTCGTAACGCGCCGCCACACAATATTCGCTCGCTAACCGAGAGAACGACTCAGATGCGCCAAGAGAAACCACACGCAGGATCCGGCACCAAACATTGCCCGTGCAGTAAAAGTGATGGCCTCAAGTTGGCGAATGACACTTCTACTGCATCGACTGTAATGCGTGACCACTACACCACACGTGGCGCCCGGGGGCACCTCGACCGTCGGCCCCGCCATCAGATCTCCCCATCCGAGGATTTATCTCTCTCAGGGTGGGGGGTGATTGGCAAGATTGGATGTGCTGGGGATGGGAGCAGCCAGCCCCCCTCCGGGAGCCAAGCCGCCACGCCGTGGAGGGGACATCGGGACAAGAAGAAGCGGCGATGAACGGAGGAGTCGTGATCTGGACGCCGAGCGACCTGAGAAGGGAACCCGCCCTATCCTGGGGAGTGGAGAGCTTCCAGCTTAAACTTGGGTCTGGGTCGTCCAAATAGGGGCATGGGCCGTAGCAGGTAGCAGCAGCACAATGGACAGGTGGGGATGGAGCCGACTTCGCCTGCGGGTGTCTTTAACACTGCGGTGACCCATCCGAGCGGCGAGTTACTTGCGGCGAACAGCGGAGACGCCGGCGCACGGAGAGTCGAGTGAGCGGACGCCGCAGCAAAGCTACGGCGTCCGCTCACTCGACGGTTGTGTCCCCCGCTTGCGACGCGTGTAGCTGCGTGGAAGCCGGAGTCGAGTGAGCGGACCACCGACACCCCGCAGCCTGAGCTCCCATACATAGCGCAGATTGCGCCACCTCGTGGTTGTAGAAGGTATGGGGCGTGGTGGGGGCGGGGTTTGTGTGAGTGGGAGGGATGTGGGGTGGCTGGGGGTCAAAGGTCAACGCGTCGCGCCAGTTTGCGGGCGCGCGGGAGGCATAACTGTGTACAGTGTGTACAGTACTGTCTCCCTCCCCGTGTACTGTCTCTGTCCCTGCGCGCTCTCTCCCTGTGCTCTCGCCGCTGTCGCCATGATCCACGAGCTGCTGCTGGCGCTGAGCGGGTTCCCCGGGAGCGTGTTCGCGTGGAGCCGCCGGGCCGGGCTGCAGGTGATGCCGGGATCCCCGCGGGCAGAGAGACGAGCGGGCGGATGCGCTCAGGGCACCGGGTGTAGGAGGAGTTCGGGTACAGCCTGAAGGGAGGCCTTCATCCAGCAGTGGGTGGATCTTGACCGATGATGATTGGTTTCATTTTCTGTTGTAATATTTTAAATCACATTTGCGGGGTGACTTTACATTTCATAGTTTATATTTTAGACGTTGAATCTGGACCTCGAATGACATTTTTTAAAATCAAACATTGAGCTGTATTTCATTGAAAACGAAACTCACCTGTCTCTGTATACAGATTAAGCAATTAAGTATTTGATTTGTGAGTTAAGTGGTTAATAATTAATGAGTGATTAATTGAGAGCGATTGATAGATGTAATAATAAGTAATTGATACATTTAGGGGTTTCAGATAAATTGGCTAATGTATGAATATCGCAATTGGTGGTTCATTTTTTACTAGCTGTACTACCCAGCTTCGCCCGGGACTTGGATCCACCACGTCCGGCCGCCTTTGTCTCCCCAGTGGCGATGTTCACACACCACATCAGTTAGTCGTTTGAGGCTGAGTCGACTTAGGGGAGGCCCAGGACCCGTTAAAATAATCGTGACTGGTGTTGACCGTGAGCGGGAATCGAACTCGGGGCGCCAGGTTTGTTGCGAAGCGCGCTAACCACTACACTACAATGCGTTACGCTTCCACATGCGCGGGTCACGTGACAGATTTGACGTCACAGCTCACTTGCCGTGCAATAAAAATATGCATTATTGAGCTCCCCCCCCAAAAAAAAACAAAAGTGTATTTTTTTTATAATTGTTGCATGGTGTACAGTCTGGAAAGTACCCACATGGCAAATTTACAGTTGCATGTCGGGAAGTACGCTAAACATTTTGAACAGACACATATTCACAACTTTGCCTTTTATATATATATGGAGATTAAGCGATCTAGTGGAGTTTTCATTGAGTAATGAATGGAGTGATTTATTGGCTGAGCAATGGATTGATGTTGAATGATGGTGGTCTCCAGGTACTGCAAGACGTCCCGTTTATCCACCCGAGTGAGGTGAATTTGCTGAACCGGATCTGCCGTTTGGGCACCGACTACATCCGCTTCTCCGAATTTGTGCAGCAGAACAGCAGCCACGTCCAGAAGCCGGTGATATTCCAAACTGCATTTCTGCTCCCCAGCCTCCCCTGCACAGATTCGTGCCCCCCACGTACAGAACATTCAATAACACTTTCACTACTGGTCCAATCTATTCTCGGACCTGACGATGCACCAGCTGTGGCCAGTCCCGAGAGTTTGCATAGCCAAAGTGTTTTTGTATTCAAGGCATACATATCTCTTGACATCTAGTGGCAAATCTGAAAAATAAAAATGATTGAATTATGAATAATACAGAGCTTGTAACCAGGTAAAGCACCTGGGACAGATGACCTCTCCAGCGAACTGCTGAGGGATGGTGGCATGTGTGCAGACTGCATTAGATGACATTATAACTGTTTGGTCCACAGGATAAGTTCCACAGGATTGGAAGGATGCCCTGGTGGTCCCCATTTTTAAAAAGGGGGCCCTACTGATTGCAACAACTACCGGGTATCTCCCTCATTATAACGGGAAAAGTCCTGTCAATAATTATTCAAAATCACCTTGCTAGACATGCTGAGGAGAAACTTGCAGAGCCCCAATGTGATTTCAGACTGGGGTGGTCCTGCATGGATGCCATTTTCTCTGTCTTCATGCTACACCAGAGGTGTAGAGAATTTAAACAGGACCAACATCTCTGCTTTATTGAACAGGTCAAGGCCCATGATACCATAATAAGTCGAGGGCTCTCGGTTATTTTTCATGCTTTCGGAGTCCTATACCATCTGTTTACAATCGTTAAGCACCTTCATGATGGTGGGGAGGCCCGGGAAAAGTTATGTGGCCGGGTGTTGAAGCCATTTTATGTTCACCTTGGAATGCAACAGGGATATCCTCTGGCCCGTACACTATTTAGTTGACCACGTAGTTGAAGAAGCTTTCCATGGATGTGCAGTGGGTACAAAGCTTGAGGAAACTTCTCTCTTTTGGAGGCAGCATGTTTATTTAACATTTACATAACACAAAGGGGTACGGCCCCTTCCACCCGATACACTAAGGAGGTATTTCTTCCAGACTATTTTGCCCTCACACTGGTTACGCTCTAACCCTACACTGGTTAAGCTCTGACCCTACACTGATTAAGCTTTTGTCCCGACTCTAGCCAGGGGTTCGGGTTCTGCCCTTTGGGCTCTTCGCTTTGGGTCTTCCAGGTGGCAGCTCCATGTCTCTGGGGGTGGCTCTTCGGTCTTCAGGGGACCGGCTTTTATACCGTCTTCTGGCTCACTCCGCCCATAGCCACTCCTCCCTTCTGGAACCGTCTGGAGGGGCCTGGAGCGTGACGTTATCCCCCAGCCCCCCTCTTGGGGGTCTGGGGCATGTACCCATGGTCCCGAGCTATACTGGGATTTACCTTGGCCTAACGGCCTCACTCATCTCCATCGGCCTCCCTTCTGCCCCCTGTTGGCTTAAGGCCGTTACTACATGCCATAAGTAGCGGCAGTTACACACAATGTTCAACGATGCCGCTACAGATGTACTGGTGGAGTTTCATCTGGTATAGATACAAGGGGAGGCTGATCGATGCCCGGGTGTGGTCAAAGGATGGCTCCCTATTGGTCAGCTATATTATGTATGCGGATGATCTGGTGATTGCTGCCCACTCTGAGGACTTGGATATGCTACTACTGAACCTGGAGCATGCTACTAAGAGATGGGGCCTTCCCATCAGCCTCACAAAAACAAGGCACCTGCCTGGGTATTTTATTTCATCAAATGCTCCCCTCCACTCCCAATGAGTGGTGGGGCAGTTGTGGAGAGAGTGGAGAAGTTTCTGTACTTAGGCAGTGTGCGTATGATCAGCTCCAGTTTACCAGCCAAGGTCTTACTCCAAATTAGTCAAGCGGCCTTATCTATTCATCAGCTGTGTAACACTTTGTGGAAGCTGCCTGGCCTGTCGTTCCATACAAAGCTCTGGATCTTCTTGGCCACAGTTCGACCTTCGCTTCTGCATGCTTGCAAAACGTGGAGCTCTCTAAAATAACATCTGTGCCTGTTTGAAACATTTAGGCTAGCCTACCTACCATCCATTCTGGGTTTAACCAGACTGGATTGTGTGACGACCTCACAAATCCTTTAAAAATCTGGACACAGTCCGATCAGTGAGCTCCAGCAAGTGAGGCTGCGTTCGCTGGATCATCATAACCCACATGCCCAGCCACTGCATTATGCACAGTTGGTGCATCTGCCAGTCATCTCAGTCAACCCATGGCACCTGGGCCTGTTCCATGACCTGCCAGCGGTCCTTTGACATAACACGTGGCCTCAAAGTACACCTAATATAGCACAAACGCCGTGGTGACATCAATGCCACTTAGTGGTGAATGGTGGTTGTTAATAAGACACTGTTCGTCATGTGTGTGTAACTTAATAGTGATGGTATCTTCTTCCTGGTGACATAACTCACAGCAGACGGAGCTGGCAGGACACAAGCAAGGCATGTATCTGCGTGCATTTTGCTCCGGACTGGACTTGGTGCTGCAGTCGTACCGCCAGGCTCTGCTGGACCTCGAGCAGCAGGTCAGGCTCACGGGCCATGCCCGCTTCAGCTGACACAGTCATCGTTGCCAAGGAGAGATATTACCACCGCCCACACTGTGGTTGAGACGCACGCTGCACCCACACTGTTGGTCAGGCTCACCACAAATTGTTGAGAAGGGTTTCTCTGCTCCCAATATAGATGTATATATACATCTTGTGCATCATCTCATATGGCACTATAGTGATCGTTATGACACAATGTCCGAATTTGATGACTTGTTGAGCGGGGCACACATGTTACTTGAGAACCAAATGTCCTCAGGCATCAGAGGTCCCTGTTGTGGTATCGGTGTAAACTGTTCTGCAGGTCTCTGGAATTGCCTGTGACCAAATCACCCTGAGTTTGCCCTATACTCATATCTCAGGAGTTAAGCAGGTTTGAACCAAGTTAGGACTTCCTAGGAATGCCAGTTGTAGGCTTGGCCAGCAAAGTGGCACGTTGATGGTCATACAGCAATGGATTCTTGATTCTATGTGGAGCTCTCTCTTACCCTTTTGTATGCTTAGATTTCAGTGTTCTCTGTAGCCCATTTGGAGAGGTGCCGCACCTTGCTGCCCTGTGAAAATTGGTGCATAGCCTAAGTTTCTGAGCGCTATGTTGCCCTGGTTTTCCCGTCACTTTGCGTCGCGTTTCCGTAGAGCTGCCTCTCGGAGGCACCAAGGCATGTGGGCTGTGCTAGGCCACGCCCATTAAGTCTTTGGAATTTGACTGATATAAAAGTAAACTGCTTCTTTATTGCATATGTGGGTTTGTATGTATATATGTATATTGTGTATGTGATGCATGTGCGTTGCTTTATGTTGCGTGTGTCTACACGACCATGGGGAGAACATGCAAACTACAAATATATAGGCGAGGTAGTTAGCATTTTGCCACTGTGGTGCCCCATCAATATGCCAAGGCTCTGGATTATTCTTCGTGATTTTGGAGTCCTAGACCCTTTACCTCACAATCATTAAGGACCTTCGTGATGGTGGGGAAGCCTGGGTAAAGCTGCACCGTTGGGAGTCTGAGCCATTTTCTGTTCAGCTTGGGGTACAACAGGAATGTCCTCGAGTGCAGTAAAGGAATGGTTGTCTATTGGTCAACCATGTTATGTATGTGGATAATCTGGTAATTACTGCCAACTCTTGAGAAGGAGTTGGAGACACTACTGCTGAACCTGAACCATGCTATTAAGAGATGGGGCTTTACCTTCAGCCCCACATATACAAAGGACCTGCCTGGGTATTTTGGAATCAAATGCTCTGCTCCCTTCACTCCCCATGAGTGGTGGGACAGTTGTGGAGAGAGTGGAGAAGTTTCTGTACCTGGGCAGTGTGCTTATGACCAGCTATGTTTTGGCAGCCGAGGTCTCGCTCCGAATCAGTCGAGCGGGATTATCTTTTCATCAGCTGCGTAATGCTCTGTGGAAGCAACCTCGTCGGTCACTCCACACGAAGCTTCAGGTTTTCTCGGCCACGGTTATGCTCTTCCTTCTCTATTCTTGCGAAATGTGGAGCCCTCTAAAGGAACATCTGCACCTGTTTGAAACATTCAGGCTGCCCTGCCTACGGTCCATTCTGGGTTTAACTAGACTGGATTGTGTGAAGAGCTTAAAGATCTTTGAAAGATATGGACACATTCTCATCGGTGAGCTCATCCAACAAGCAAGGCTGCATACCCAGCCACTGCATGCCCAAGCAGCTTCTCTTTCGCTGGATAGATGGGGCTAAATGAGCATGGCATGGGCTAGACAGGAGATTGACTGATATTGTACAGAAGAATGCGGAGCTAATTATAAATTGCCGATGACTGGTACCAGCAGTGTCAAGATCGGCCTCTATGGAGGAGGTTCGTGAAGAATGCTACTAGGCAGTTTGAGGCAGTCACCCTGAAAGAACAGCAGAGGGCAGAGGAGCGATGCTATTCGGTAAAGTCACGTAGGTAAAAAATAAAACAACAAAAATCACGACGTTTCGGCCACAACACAAGCGGCTTTCATCATGTGAAGGGACCAGACTGTCTCGAAGACAGCGCTGGAGTGAAACACAGCCAAGCTCAGACCGCGACCTTTAAGCTGTGTGAGAGTCATTAAGATGCCTTGACAAAGGAATTAGCATAAAAATTAGCATTTAATTGGCCGACTTAGCATGATGAACGGTGTAGAGGTGGTGTACATGCGGGTGAACATGCCGGTTGGCGAGGGGGGGAGGGGGAGTTTACCTATTGATGGTGTGAAAAGGGAATTTTAAGAGCTGTGAAAGTTTGGGGTACCACTACTTGAAAAAATATACTGTACCATTGTAAATTCGTTTAATGTTTGGTTCGATTTAGAACATCTTTCCAATGGTTGCTTAATTTGAAACCATCTTCTCGGTTGAAATTGTGTCTGTGTTTGTAGATCTGAATTGCCTCGTGAACAAATCTCTGATAAAAACCCGTGGGTTTGCAAAGAACCTTGGTATCGGAGAAAATTATATCGTGATCACCCACAGCGTTGTAACAGTGATCAGCTACGGTAGAAGAATTCGTTCTGCCATGTTTCAAATCTGATTTGTGCTCGCGAATTTGGTCAGAGACATGTCGCTTCGTCTCCCCGATATAGCAATCACCGCAGGTACAACTCAATTTGTAAACCCCGGGGTACTGTAAGTCAGGGATGACATCCTTCACGAATGGGATCAGATAACGAATTTTGTGTACTGTATTGAACCGGACCTGGATCTTGTGTTTGTTTAGAATTTTGGAAATCTTTTTAGTAACGCCTGCTATATATGGTAGTGTGATGGTTTTGACCGGAGTATCAAGTGGTTGTTTCTGTATGGAGGGAGAAACAGCTTGGCGGATGGTACGGTCAGAGTATCCATTCCTTTTGAGGGCCAGGTGTACATGTTTTAATTCACTGGTCAGGTGGTGTTGGTCCGAAATGCAATGAACCCTATGGTATAAAGTTTTGATGAGAGAATTCTTTTGGGCTGGGTGGTGGTGGGAATCAGGTTTCAAATAGGAATCTGTGTGGGTGGGTTTCCTGTAGACAGAATGCCCCAATGAGCCATCAGGTCTCCTCTCAAACAGAACATCTAAGAATGGTAGCTTGCCATATTTCTCCACTTCCATGGTGAATTTGATGGTGGGATGTCTGGAATTGATGTGGTGTAGGAAAAGGTTCAGAGCTGGGAGGCCATGTGGCCAAATGACGAAAGTGTCATCCACATATCTCTTCCACTTTCGTCATTTGGCCACATGGCCGCTTGTGTTGTGGCCGAAACGTCGTGATTTTTAAAATATTTTTTTTTTACCTACGTGACTTTACCGAATAGAACCAAAGAGTATGGATCCTTGCAGTCACGAAAGCTTCAAATCTAGAATAGGAGCGATGCTCACAACGAGCAGTGCGCCAAGTGGCTAAAACACAGCAAGTTAGCAGAGTGGGGAGCCAAGTTGGTGCATCTGCCAGTCATCTCAGTTAGCCCATGACAACTGGGTCTGTCCCATGATATCCTGTCCGCAAGCCTTCGAAACTCACGTGGCCTCAGAGTGCACCTAGCATGGCACAAGGACCATGGTGATGTTACCGCCACTTACTGGCGAACAACAGTTGCAGGTGTGTGCTTCGTTTGTGTTAGTTGCCTTTGATCTCTACAAATAAGCTTTGTTGTTACAGTTCCTCGCCGATCCACACCTGTCCGTGTCTCACGTGAACCACTCGCTTGAGCAGGTGAGTGTTACCCCCGGTTGCTGTGACTACTGCCCTCCATACCTAACCCTTTCTGGCACCTGGCTAAAGTTGCATTGCTTTCTAATGGTTCAGATGTCTCTTGAGGTTGCGAGGACAAGGAAGATGAAAGGAAACAATTCTAATAATTGTCTAGTTTATGTTACTGGATGCGATAATTTTATCAAAGTGAAATATAAAAAGGCAGGATGCTCTAAAGCAGTTGTTTCCAACCTGTGGACTGCAAGGCTGTGTGAGGTGGTCCATGGAACTCTTGCAGATGCTGCAATTTAGTTATTTAAATGTTTAAATAGAGGTTATTTGGTGCATGGTGGTCTGTAAACGTTTGTTGAGGGTTGGCAGCAATCCTCCGGTTGAGAAACGCTGGGAACCATTGCTCTAATGGGAACCTGCAGTCATGCATTTTTGTCTGCTGTTGATCTGTTAATGGAAATACTGAATGGCACGTTCGATGGATATTCTCTAAAAAACGCATTCTAATAAATATTTGTTTTCTTAGAAATTGAGATTGTAGGCATGTAGTGTCTATATCAGTTGTTCCCAATCTTGCTGGACCTACGGATCACTGTCAGGTCTCAACTTATATCTACTCACCACCATTGCACTCATCAAATTTTTTAAAATTAAAACGGCTGTAAATTGCAGTGTCTGCAACAGTTGCGTGGACCACTTCCCACGGCCTTGCAGAGCCTCCACCAATGTTCCATGGACCAGATTGGGAACCATGGGCCGATATCAATCTTCACAGTCACGTTATTCGTTTACCAGGGCACAGGCTCATATTTTATTTCACTGATAAACAGGCTAATTTGCCATATGCAGGCAAGTAACAGTTGGTTAATAGATACAAAATATAATCTTACACTCATGAAAGATTCACCATTCTAGATTTAAAGTTTCACCATATTATGTGTAAGAGTCAGTTATTTTGTAGGCAAATTATTAGATTATTATGTATTTTGTATATATGTATGTTAAACTTATTTTGCACCGTATTTTACCTTAAGGCTGTTGAATAAGACAACAAAGAATAAATTAGACAATAAAATGAGATAGTATTTTGTGTGGGGCCATCAGTTGCTGAGTCATGCATTGGAATGTTCTACATAAGTCCAGCGTCCAAGGGGAAGGGAAGACCTAAGGGCTGATGGTGGTGGCAGATTGTCAGGGCAGACCTTGGAAGTCGCTGTATGTCAACTGAGCAGCAGCTCCAGGATCTGACAGAGAGGAAAGAGCATTGGCGAGTGTGGTGGTGGCATCAGTTGCTTTGGCCATAATGAGATCTTGTTCTTGTGGGACCATTGCCCACACATGTCTTTGTTTGATTCAGTTTCAGCTGCTCTTCCCAGCACTTATGGTCGTCCTGGATCTGATTAAATCACAGAAGGTATGGGATCACCTCAATACTATCGATGATGTGTGTATTGTGTTTTGTACATTATTCTACAATATTTGCTGTGTAGAAATATACAATAAATAAGGAAAATGGCACAAGACTGATCGATTCTGTATAAAAACAAAATATAAGCAATTATTGCCACTTTCCTTCATGCTGTGTTAAATTACACATTTCCTCTCATCTCCACATGAGCCACTGGCCCTGAACCAGTTGTAGAAAATTTATTTGTGAATAATGCCTAGCAAAATATTGAATTAATCACTTTACACTATTAAGCAAAAGCTTGTGATTTTTTCCCTTTTAATGCATAAACTTACTTTATCAATGCAATGCATTTTTGGTATAGACAAGTGTGAAAAAGTTGCAGTTCGAAGACATGAAACGTTTATAGCAGCACCTACATGATATTAACATTAATAATTTGAGACGTTTAACTGATAGTGCATACCATATATTCTTAGGCCTTTCGGTAAAGTCACGTAGATAGGTTCAAAGAAAATAAATTAAAAAGAACAGAAAACTACGACGTTTCAATCGCAACGCAAGCGGTCATCTTCAAGCCCTTTTCCTGAAGACGACCGCTTGCGTTGTGATCGAAACATCGTAGTTTTCTGTTATTTTTTATTTATTTTCTTTGAACCTATCTACGTGACTTTACCGAAAGACCCAAGAATATGAATCCTGCAGTCACGAAAGCTTTAAGTCAAGATGCATGCCATATCTTTTATAAATCAATTGCCCAAAACGCTAAGCAGCCAAAGAAGGCAACGTACCTGAGAAGACAATGACCGTAAAGATTAAGCAATGCTCAAAATTGGCTCACATGCAGGAGGATGATTGCATTGTGAGAATGTAAGAGATGGAATAGGCCTTCATCCAACAATTGCTAGATCATGGCTGACAATGGTTAGTGTCTATGTCCAAGTAATCCATAGGTGCCTTGTTTTCTCCGTGTGGTACTAGCCCTGTGTCTATGTATGTGAAGTGACTGACTCAGAGACACTACAATAGGAGGCAATATATTTATTACAGCCCTCACAGGTACGAGAGGCAAATAAATTAGGGTCAGGACAGCTAACAGGCTGCCTGACCAACAACGCCAACGAGGTGAAGACGGTGACGAGGACTCCGGCAGCATGACGGTTCCACTCCCAACCAACAGCCCCAAACCTTCGCTCGGGGTCCCCCTTTTATCCACCTAGCATGGCCCTCTTCCGCCTTCGGCCACACCCCCCTTCTAGAACACACTAGAAGGTTCCCAGGCTTTACCACACGTCCCCTCTAACCCCCTTGCCTCGCGTTTCTTTTTCCTGGCTCATGACCTCCTGTTGGCAGACAGGGCTACTGCACCTGCCGATCCCCCTCTGTGCCCGAAACCAGCGCTATGTGCCATAGTGACGCATTCCCTGTTACTCCATATATATGTTGAACTTCTTTCGGACCGTACGTAGCCAACCGTGCTAATTGGAGGTGTCTCAATAGCCCATGTGTCTGGTCTCTGTCAGGTTCACGGGTGTCAAATCTTAGAAGTGATCTATAAGCACAGCTGCAGTGGACTCCCTCCCATCCGTAAGGCGCTGGAGAAGTGAGTGCACGTCTATTACTCAATAATGTGTCACAACCTCAGTGTAATGCGCAGTGGAATCCCAAGAGCCACAACTTAGTAACTCGTCCTTTGGTGATGAGCACATGGGGACGTCTCGTCTTCAAGAAGGATATATCTTGATAATAAAGAACAATTACATACAACTTTATCTCTTTGTGGCCTGTCACTTGATTAGTTTTAGCACATAGTTATAATTGACTTATCCATCTTACACGTGATGGACAGCCTGGATACCTTCCAGCTTCGACATTTTGGTGATTGTCTTAGCTGAACCCTCTCTTCTCTGATTTTTCCCCCACTCTTAAAATAAATTTGCTTAGGGAGCGCAGTTTTATTTTAATGTGGGAATTAGCTTTGCATATGTCCTTGATAGCGTATGATAGCATTTTTGATTAGGATACTCCGGTTAATAACATCCAAACTATAATGAAGAGTGGGCTTGGGTAAGACACCGCATAGCTCAATGGAATCGTGTATGTATGTTGAACTTATTTCGCACAATACATAGCCAACCATGCTAATCGGAGGTGCAGGGGGATGACAACAAACTAAACACAAAAAGTCGTTCTAAATAAATGAGTTTTCAATGTTTACAGTTCATAGCTCCAGTGGCTTCCATTTCTGGAAAGTACTTGACGTGTAATGAGTGCGACTTTATTATGTATTCGTTCGGCAACCGGAAGCCAATGCAGCTTGGCGAGCACTGGACAGACATGGTCAGATCTTGTAGTACCTGTCACGACACGTGTCAGAGAATTTTGTACACGCGGCAGCTTGGCCATGTTTTTGCCAGACGTCCTGGAGAGTAGCGAGTTGCAAAAATCAAGCCTTGTTGATATACTATGCTACACGCCACAGTATTGGCTATTTCACGACTCAATAGTGGTCGATGTGTCGTAGAGCGCTCATATGAAAATTGCAGGACCAGAATATTTTGCACGTGGTGATAAAATGATGCATTTTAGTCGAGTATGGTGCCAAGGCTCTTCAGACAAGTAGAAAGCTGAATCCTGGAGTCCATGACCGCCACACCTGATCCTCTTAACAATGTTTTTCGCCTGAGTGCCAAACAGCAGAACCTACCATATTTCTGGATTAAGCAGCATTTCACTTTATGCAAACCACACGCGCACCGAGGAGATGGAGTGATAATATTAGTTCTGCAGGAGCTTGGATGGATTGTTGGAATGCAATATTGTGAGGTAGCGGCAGATTGGGGTGGCCTTTGTCCAACAGTGGATTTAACATGGCTGATGATTGTGATATGAGTAATTAAAAAAACTCCAGCTTTGACAGAGGAATGCCGAATTGTCTGTGATTGTGAGAGATACTGGATCATAGCATGGTGGCGGTCGTGCTGTGTGCAGGGTGCTGTGTGTTTGCCATGGGGTCATGTACAAGCAGATCTCTGCCTGGATGCTGCATGGGCTGCTGCTTGACCCCCACCAGGTACGTGCTGAGTCCTCCAGCGTCACTCACATCAGCCCCGACTACAGCACTAGTCGGCAAACGCGCACACCGACCCACACATCTGTAGTAACATCGGGGATGTCACTGTATGGTGCCGGGCCATAGGGGCCGTGTCGTTCGATGTTCCTACATCGTGGACAGCACTATGGGTGGCTGTGTGTAATACCAGCCCTAGCGGGGGTGGTGAGCACTGGGATAGTGCGGACACCACGCACAGCGTGTGGTGGGGGCTCCCACGAGGGGGAGTGGGTGACTGTCAGCTCAGGGGCAGGGTTGCCCTGGGCCATGGCACTCTGGTTGACCCCGTAGATGGGGCGGCTAGTGGGTGATCACGTGTCCGCGGAGAGCCCTTGAGAAGGATCGAGAGGGAACGAGAATGCTCGAGAAGGCGGGCGGGGCCGAGGGCGGAGCAACCCCGACCGTAGGGGGATATATAAGGCAGGTCCCTGAGAGGGACCGGGATCGCTGCATTCTACAAGCCGGAAGCGCAACACCTACAAGCGGGAAGCTCTACGTCTCAAGCTGGAAGCTCTTCGTCTTACGAGGCAACCACGTGATCGGAGACCCGAGTGAGGGTCGGAACCTTCGTAGCAGTAACCACTCTGTATAGCGTAGTTAGCTGGATGGTCAACACCCTAGGCTGTATCAGGTAAAGGAGCCGTTACCCCTTTGTGTTACGGTGTTACAATGTGTTGCCTCTAAAAGGAGCAACGTCTGTGACTCAGTTGGACTCACTACACATCGTGCGAAGCCACTCTCAGCAGTCTCATCGAAGTCTACGGACGTGCTCTTTGGTTCTATTCGGTAAAGTCACGTAGGTAAATAATAAAACAACAATAATCACGACGTTTCGGCCACAACACAAGCGGTCTTCATTGTGTTGTGGCCGAAACGTCGTGATTATTGTTGTTTTATTATTTACCTACGTGACTTTACCGAATAGAACCAAAGAGTATGGATCCTTGCAGTCACGAAAGCTTTAAATCTAGAATCTACGGACGTGCTCTGTCCGGCATGCCTTGCGTGAGCGCTGATATTAATATCAGTAATTAAATACTCCCGACGTCAATCGCATGTTGGAAAGCATTTCAATCATAGGGTTTTTTGACCATACATCACCATGCTGCTGTTTGCGGGTTTTAAAAGGTGAGGGGGTTAAAGAATGCCATCTAATGGTAACCCATGCTCAAAATTAAACTCGGAGGACTCACCGCAATTTGTCTCAAGTCATGCCCGGCCATGTTTTAAATTCTTAGATTAAGATTATTTAGAAAAAACCTGTGGCATCCCAACCAGAACAACGCAACCAAAATCCCAAGGGTAGCAAGAAAAACGTCCAAAGCCACACTGCTTGTTAAATGTGTGCTTGGTCATTGCTGCTAATGCTGCTTTCAATTGAGAGAAGAAAGCTCACTGCGCGCTGGCTGCTGTGTGACAATGAGAGTGACGTAGACAGTGTCCCTACACCGTGATTGCAGGAGTTCTTCATCCAGCAAGGGGGGGCCACCAGGCCCGAGCAGGGGGCGGTTGCAACCCCCACCCACAGCCAGAGCGAGCAGGACGACGAGCTCGGCATCGGCGGCGTGTCCGGACGGCAGCTGCGGCAGATGCAGAACTTGGTGTGTGAGCACGCAAAGCACCCACAGCACACAGCTCACAAATCACACAGGATACTGAGCACACATAGCACGCAGTTTACATAGTACACAGTACAGAACACACAGCTCACAAAAATCATAGGATACAGAGCACACAGTATATGGCTCAAAGCACATACTGGGTTAGATTCTTCTCAAGTGAGATGAGCTTCTCACTCATGGGCAGAGCTTGCTATAGATTTGGGTTGTCTCATTGGCTTCTGTCTATAGTGTGTGGGCTTCCTGTTGTTGTGGGCGAGGCTTCCACTGACGGTAACAGATGTGGCCTCTACGACGTGCGTGTGATAATGAGAAGGTGCATCTGCAGTCCTTGGATTGTGCTCCTGTGTTGCAGCACTTGTCCAAGGAGGCAGTCGTGCTGAAAGAGTCGATGAGGCTGTACTCGATTCGGCCGGAGATGCTCCCGGGATACCTGCCCCACCGCCTGGCCCAGAAGGTCCTTTTTGTCGGGGAGTCGGTGCAGATGTTTCAGAGCCAAGCAGCGTCTCAGTGTGCGTCAGGTAAAGGGCAAAAGGAGCGCATGCCACCGAGCACTCTGTGGTATCTCCTCCTATTGGCTGTGCCACACACAAGCTAATGCTTGTCATTAAAAATACAAAGGCCTGCTTTGAATACTGAAAAGTCGCTATTTATGTGTAGAGTGAAATACTCGGTGCGCACAGTTAACTGAGGGCAACTGAGGGCAAACAGGTGTGCAATGTGAGGTTGCACGGACAAACCGCCACCTAATTAAGGGGAGAAGCGGGTGCAAACGGGGTCGGCCAGGTGTGCGCGTTGAGACCGGAGGTGTTGCCAGGGAGACGGGAGATAAGGGTTGATTGATGGGCCGACAGGCGCCAGCCTGGCCAGAGCCTAAAGAGACGCACGAGAGGTCTCTGATAATTAGCAGAGGGATATAAGGGTGTGTGCGTTAGCGAAGAGGGAGTTGTTGCCGGGGACCAAGGGTGAAGACATCTCGCCGCTGCCGCTCCAGGGGCAGCGGTGGAGATGTAGAGTTGCTGTGTGCGAAGCTGCTGTGTGCGGAGACGCTGAGTGCGGAGATGCTAAGTGTGGAGTCGCTGAGTGCGGAAACGCTGTGCGCAGAGTCGCTGTGTGCGAGGACGCTATGTGCTGAGTCGCTGAGAGCAGAGCTGCTGAGTGCAGGATAAGGGAGGTCAAAGGTAGATAAGAGTGGGGAGAGGTTAAACATAAGTGACCGTATAGATAGTTATAGGAGTGCCTACAACTGGTGCAAGAATATGTGAATAAAGTGTAAGCAGGTGACTTGTTACAACGTGTCGGTGTGAGTAATTTTTGAAGACACATATGTATGCTGAACTTGTGTCACACCGTATGTAGCCAAGCGTACTAATCTAAGGTGTGGGGAAGGACAACAAAGGGTTACCTGTATGGTGCTCACAGGCTGGTTCACATCCAACAGGTGCATACTCTGGGTCTATTGACCATGAATACGCACCGTCTGCTTCACAGTGGACGTTAATAATCCCGTGACATCATTTGAAAAAGAGTAGGCCATTGTTTGCTGTGTCATGGTCCAATTTTACCATATTTGAAATCTTTTTCAATTTGCTTCAGTGGGAAACAGCAGTTGTTGGCTGAGCAGGTATAATAATTATCATTATCTTCCCAGGTTCTATTTTAAAGTCCCATGAGGATGCCTTTGCCACGGAGATTCACAACTTGCAGCAGCAGGATCTCTTCAGTCTTCTTGAGCTGGAGATGGTGGTCGATAAGATCCGCAACACAGTGGCCGAGGTAGGCAAGTGATTCACGAGAGCCGGTTAAAAAGTCCGAAGCCAAAGATAGCAGGAGTGGTGCTAATTTAAAGGGTCAATGTTCAATAAAACTATCATTATTTGTAATTTATGTCAAGCATGTAAAATTATTGTTTGCATGTAAACTGATAAAAATTAAGAGGTGGCACGGCTGAACTCTCCTTCCCATACATATTTTTAAAAAATGTTTCTTTACTATTATTTATTTTATTTGCTGATTACCTTATGCTATTCGTTGTGCATGGTTGCACTTTATTTTGCGTGCGGTTACAATTAACTCTGCTCAACCTCAGTCTAGATTTGCTCAACCTCAGAAGCTAGGAGTCATAACCAAAGTTGGCCCTGCATTCATGACTCTTGCCAACAATATATGGCGTCAGGCCTGACTGCTTATTATTACTATTGCACTTCGCTTACATACTGGTAGAGTGGAGCTATAAAATGATTGCTACTGAACTGTGTGTATGTAGCACCTGTGGAAACTCGTGGTGGAAGAGGCAGACCTGCTGGGACAGCTGAAGGTAAGATACTATGTGGAATGTTGCATTGAGCCACCTCTCACCAGTTATGGCTCAAGAGTGGTCCCAACAGCACCACACCAGCCACATGGAGACATTCACGATTAAATAACGTCTATTTTATTTAAATGGTGTGAATCATGCAAATTGATTTCACACAAAAAACACATTTGTAACTCTTGACTTAAAGCTTTCGTGACTGCAGGAATTCATTTTCTTTGGTTCTTTCGGTAAAGTCAGATTGATAGGTTTGTAACGCGCACAGTTTTCAAATGAAGCCATGGGAAACAACAGACAAGCGGGAAAGTGGGCCGCACTGGCACCAGAGATAAGCTCTCTGGCCCTATATTGGGATGTTTGACTAACTCCATGAATGAGTGTTCATACATGTGAGAGGAAACCCATGCGTGTTGTGATACATTTGTTAAGCTGCACCTGGGACGTGCCGTATTCTGTGTCTGCGTAGACCATAAAGGACTTCTATTTGCTCGGTCGGGGAGAGCTGTTCCAGGCATTCATTGACAGTACGCAAACGCTGCTGAAGGCACCACCCACAGCTGTCACCGAGCATGGTGGGTGAGGCTTATACTGCTGTGATCGCTGTGATTCCCTATTCACATACACATAGTGGCATCTGTGTGTGTGTTCTGTGGACCCTCTCATGCTGTGCATGAACTTGATTTCTAACCAGGTGAGATCCCATTGAGACAAGTCTCAGTAGGTGCCAGTGGTTCCCATGCTTTCTGGATCCACGGACCACTGTTAACCCACAAAACATTTTCTTGCAAATTACTGCACAGTAAAACATCTTGGGTTTTGTAAAAAAGTAAGTATATGTAACAGTTCCTTTACAGATACCTCCCACGTTCTTCCAGAGCCTCTACCATTGCTCTGTGTGAATCACTGCTCTATGGAAATATGCCCTGATTCAGGACATGACAATCATGTCTTTCTGAAACTGCCCAATATCGAGGCATTCACCATTAATTTTTAGATATTTTTCAACAGCCATTTCTTTAGAAACTAGCTCTAAAGCTAAGTGGCTTCATAATTACTCTCTGTTTAAAGTTAATAATAAACGATATTTAATAAAATTAAGTTTTTAAGCAAAAAATTATTGCATATGAAGGATATTCAAGTATTTAACTCTGCATTTTATTTTATTTAAATTGATGAAAACTTATGACGAGCAGACCTCGTTGAGCACAACCCCATAGAATGCTGATTCGTTATAGCGCTCTTTGTCCTGGAGAAATGTTTTACAAAAAAATGAAATCAGAACATCTATAAAGCCCTTACAAGTGAAAATATGCAGCAGCGTCTGCCAAGGAAACATACCCGCCCCCATCATTCGCTCAGCCAATGAGAGTGATGTCAACCAAACCCCACCCCCTACGATTCGATTATCACGATTCGTGGTTACAATATTTTTTAAAAATCTATTTTTTCAATGTTGTTACATTTAGCCACGTGAGAACAATATGAAGCCCTCATTGCTAATACATTCACTCCTCGTTTAACGTCGTCGCATTTAATGTTGTCGCTACAAAGTCGCCGAATAATCACTAGCCATGTATTCATTTGATGTTGCATGGTATTGATCCAACGTTCCGCCAGCGGGCAACTACTGTACTTTCTACGGCGGAGAGCGAGGTGGCTGCGTGACTCGAAGCGAAGCCTTCCGCTTCAGTCTGACCACCATTACAGTATTGTTTACATCCTGTTGTCTTTCACTTTGACCCCACCGCTCACTCATCCACCGCTCACTCACTCATCCACCATTAACTCACCCACTGCTCACTCATCCACCACTCACCCACCACTCACTCATCCACCGCATTCCACCAAGTGTCAAAATCATCGTTGGTGAATATAGTATTAAATTATTTGTTTAAAATAAATTAAACTCATACTGATATTAAATTGTATTTTTAATAGTAACAAAAATGTACTGTACAGTATATGTAACGGCCTTTGTCTAGCAAAAAAAAGTACTTATATGCATGTTGAACTTCTTTTGCACCGTACTTAGCCTACCGTGCTCTACCTGGTTTCATTTTAAGATGTTTCACTTAAAGTCGCACTTTTCAAGAACGTAACCACGACGTGAACCGAGGAGTGACTGTACGACAGAAATAATGCCGTTGAGTACACATCCCTATATATACAATAGTATAATGACCCCTTTTGGCGCTGATTCAATTAGTGCTCACTTCTCCAGGAACGCATCTTGAGCATTAAGTGAGGTATGCCTGTATTAAGGCATACAGTTCATTAGGCAGCAATAAAAATCCAGATCGCTCGAATGCAGTTGTAAAATAAGGATGCATTACATTTTATTTGCCTTTCCAGAACGTTCTGCAGTGTACAATCGGTTATTTCGTAGTCACATGCAATTATCAAACAGCCTTTCAGAGTTGCAATATAACTCGTAGTCAATTGCTATTATAGTTATGATTGTAGTATTTTTTTGTTGACATCAGCGACTGCTGGATGAAGGCCTCCCAATGCCATTGCCATCTCTCACAGTCCAGTACTGCTCCCATGCATCTCACTCCTGCACATGAACTGATCTCGCCAACAGTGCAAGGCCTCTGCACAATGGGTGTTTTGTAACACTGCATATATAGTCATAATAAAACACGTTTTCACCTCAATGCATTTTCAATATTTGTTTTAATCTAGCGCGATGACCGTAGAGAATTAATGGAAATAAAGAGGCGTTCCATGCAAAAGGCCACCGGTCCTCACCGAGCATGCTGAGCGGTCACTGCTGTGATTGTGTGCGGTTGCTGCAGATGTGAACGTGGCACTGCAGCAGGCGGCGAGCAGGGTGCTGCTGGACGACGAACACCAGCTACACCTCTTCCACCTCACCATCTCCACCCAGGCCAGGGACCACCGAGGTATCGGCATGGTCATAGCAGATCTTCAATGCTGTCGTGGATATACCCTTATAAAAAATACATTTAGTGAAAGATTATATACTAATTCTCTCAATCATATTGTCTTTTCATACTAATCACAATGAGGACAATCATAATTGATTAATTAATGGGTGTTTGAGTATTTATATTATTTTGTTCAGGAAACTTGGCACCACAGATAGGAGTCTAACTTGCTTTGAAAGCTATGTAACAATGAAAACCCTGTGGGAAGGTCTGGAGGTTGGCTCATGTGCCGGAGACAGACTTTGTCGTAGGCCGATGACACGTCCACAAAGGTCTTGGATTTCTTTTGGAATCTGGCCTCGATGTGCGTCGCAAGTGCCAAAACTTGGTCATAGTCGCTGCGTTCAGGCCGGAATCCCGCTTGTTCTTCAGGGATCTCTGACTTGAAGAGGGGGCTGATTCTCCAGAGGATGATGCGTTCCAGGAGTTTATAGGTCATGCACAGGAGTGATATCGGTTTATAACTTCCCCAGGTCGTTGGTTGGCTTGCCCGGTTTGAGTATTGCAATGACCATCGCCTCCCGCCATGCTTTTGTGATGCATCCATTTTTCATGGTTACATGCGAGATATAAAAAAATGTGGGCAATAAGGTTGATCTGACATTGTGTATGACGAATCGCTCATGCCCCAGACAAATAAATTATTTACATAAATTACAGATTCCTGTCAGAGCTACAGTGCTGCTGATATTATTTACTTTTTTCTAAAACAAACACAAGCGTAATAAGAAAAAAAGCGGTAGAATATGACCAGCAGTAGCGCATTGACCACACATTGCAGAGGTTCTTTGTTTGAATCCGGCATGCTTCCCTGATTAATACTGCAGTTTGTATTAACCATATCATAGTGTATGTTAATGCCACCACCTTGTGTGCCATTCCGGTACTTGCTAACACGTGCCCCCACTATGGTGATATGAGCAATCTCTCTTTGCATTGTCTCAGAGGGACTGTCGGGGCATGAGGGAGAGGCGGTGCGAGAGCCATGGTCTGGCTGGGCGGCACTGGGCCTGTCCTACACCGTGCGCTGGCCACTGCACATCCTGCTCACGCCGTCCGTGCTTGACAAGTGCGTCTGTGACCCGACACACGCCCAGAGTGGATTATACTGCGGGGTGCTTCTTTTCAAGACAGTTGGCAGGAATGAGCCCGTTTTATTTCCGGACTCATTGAACTTATTTGCAAGTGTGAGTTTTGTGTTTTCACCTTCGTAGGTCTAGACTTATGCCATTGCTCTAGAGTGCCTGTATCACAATCGGAATGTTGTCAAGTTATACTGGTTAGGGCTTCAATTAGCCTGTAATCCTTGGTCATGGATAACATTAGAATCACTGGCAGTGTTGAACTGGTTTTTCCAGTTTAGTTTTGGTTCAGCAAAAACCTGGTCAATATAGGATCAAATGGTTTAGTTCTGGTAAATTGATTGCAAAAAACTAAAATTAGCCACTTCAGTTTTTGCGGTAAGTCGTATTTTGTCTGTGCTTAATAGGCCAGAATACATTAAATAATTTAATTGAGTTGCTGTTATGTGTAACAGGTGCAATGTAGTGTTGGGACTAATGGGTGTGCTGCTGCTCCGTGTTTTTGTTCCACAGATATAACGTTATGTTCCGCTACCTGCTCGAGGTGCGACGCGTGCAGGCTGAGCTGCAACGCTGCTGGGCCGTCCAGATGGAAAGGAAGAGCTCACGAATGGACAAAAGTGATGCAGTCAAGTGGAGGTTACGGAACCACATGGCTTTTCTTGTTGACAACCTCCAGTATTACCTACAGGTGGGGCTGGTACCTGGCACATCACCAGTATCTTGCAGGCATTTCATGATTTGACAACCCCTCCCTTTCATTTCAATTGTCACATTTCAGATTAATGATTAAAAAATATACTTGTAACCCTTTCCAACTGTGTTAATGCAATATCCGTCTACAGGGTGGGCAAGTCATACCGACTGTTGTAAAGATGATCTCATATAAATAAAAATTATGAAATTAAGGGTTGTTATCAAGTTGCGATTTGACAATTATTATGTCACTTCCTCTTTTTTCGCTAAAATTGTGCCACCTGCACTTGTGACATCACTTTTGGTCATGTTTTTGGAAAGGCTTTCCCCCCCCCCCCCAATTGGTCTGGCCTTGTGAAGTTTCACTATACTATAGTTGTCCAGGTGTATTTGTGTATGTGTGTCTGTATAGTTGTGGGTTTGTTTTTATGTATGTGGTTGTATGCGGCTGTGTTGTGCATCTTCAGGTGGATGTGTTGGAGTCTCAGTTCTCACAACTACAGCAGCAGGTGAGCAGCAAACGAGACTTTGAGAGCATCCGCCTGGCACATGACGCCTTCCTGGCCAACCTGCTCGCTACCTCCTTCATCCTGCTAAAGCCCGTGAGATGCACCCCTCACACACATGCAGCCTCACTCACACACAACCTCACATACACATGGCCTCACTTACAACAACAACCGCCATTCGCCACTAAGTGGCGGTGACGTCACCACGACGCTTGTGCCAGGCTATGTGCACCTTGAGGCCACGTGAAGTGTCCAATGCCCGCTGGCAGGAGGTCACGGGGCAGACCCAGATGCCACAGGTCAACTGACTGAGACGACTGACTGATGCACCACCTGTGCCCCCTTCTGTGCCAACTTGCTGTGCTTTAGCCACCCGGTGCTCCACTCGTTCTTGTGAGCGTCGCTCCTCCGCCCTCCGTTGTTGTTGGAGGGCGGCTGCCTCCACCTGCCCAGTAGTGTCCTTCACGAGCCTCCTCCACTGAGGCCGATCTTGACACCGCTGGTACCAGTCATCAGCAAGTCCACTCAGCTCCACGTCCTCCTGTACCACATCACTCCATTTCTTCTCTAGCCTGTGCCGCGCCCGTTTAGCCCCCTCGGTCCGGCCGAACAAAAGATGTTTAGGCATGCGGTGCCTGGGCATGCGGGCTACATGACCCAGTCAACGCAGCCTTGCCTGCCGGAGGAGCTCACTGATGGGACTTTGTCCAGATCTTTCAAGGATTTGTGAGCTCCTCACACAATCCAGCCTGGTTAAACCCAGGATGGATTGTAGGCAGGCTAGCCTAAATGTTTCTAACCGGCAAAGATGTTCCATTAGGGGGGTCCACATTTCACAAGCATAGAGAAGTGAGGGCATACCTGTAGCTGAGAAAACCTGATGCTTCGTGTGGAGCGACGGACCAGGTAGCTTCCATCATGGGATTTTTACCAGATAGAAATTCCTCTGGTACAGCCATGGAAAACTTCTCGAACTTCGTGGTCGAAAAATATGTTAAATAATGCGGGAGCCAGAGGACATCCCTGTCGCATCACAAGATGAACAGGGAATGGCTGACTCCCAGCCATGCAGCTTTACCCAGTCCTGCCCACCATCGTGAAGGGCCTTAATGATTGTGAACAGTCAGGGATGGCAAAATAATGAAGAACAATCCAGAGGCCTTGCCTATTGATGGTAGGTCTTGTTGAAATCCCTTACAAACCCGCTGTAGCAGACAGACAGATAATGACATCCGTGCAGGACCCACCAACTCGAATCCATATTGAGTCAGCCTCACACACACGGCCTCTTACAAAAGGCATCAATCACACACGACCTCACTCACAGCCACACACGCAAAACCTCACTCACAGCTACGATAAGTGTAACTGGAACATGGGCAGGAACAGATGAACATGTTTGAACAGGATCTGATCATGCAGAAGACAGTGATAGATACTGCTTTGTATGGTGTCTGATCATATGGTCATCTGTTCTGCAGGTCTTCCACTGCTTGCACGAAATCCTGGGCTTGTGTCACTCCTTCTCAGCCCTGGTGACCCAGGCGTCTCCGGTATCAGATGACCGAGTATCCGCACAGCTCGACAGTCTAGTAAAGGTATTTCTACTTTTATATGGCCCATGTAGAGCAACTATTAGAAATGCAGTTGTAACTTATTTAGCCGGTTAAATGGTTTGTTTCAGAGTTATGGGGTTTCCTGTGCCAGTGGCTTCATCAAACTACATCTCGCTACAAAATCCTCTTTGACTACCATCTCCACCACGAACCATTCCCTCCACCTCTTTGATATGGCTGAGCAAGTTATAATTTCTTTGATATGGCTGAGCAAGTTATAATTTCTTTGATATGGCTGAGCAAGTTATAATTTCTTTGATATGGCTGAGCAAGTTATAATTTCTTTGATATGGCTGAGCAAGTTATAATTTCTTTGATATGGCTGAGCAAGTTATAATTTCTTTGATATGGCTGAACAAGTTCTAATTTCTTTGATATGGCTGAGCAATAAAATGATAAAATAAAATAACACGATCAAATTCTCACGACGTTTCGGCCACAACACAAGTGGCCTTCATCAGGTGAAGGGACTGGACTGTCCAGAGGACAGCGTTGGAGTGGAGACAAGCCAAGCCCAGGTCGCGTCCTTTAAGCTGTGTGGGAGGAAACAAAAAACGCCTTGACAAAGGAATTAGCATAAACTGATGTACTGGACCGGCATGGTGGGGGTGGGGGGGAAGGAGTTTACATAATGTTGGTGTGAAGGGAAATAAGTGGCTGTGAAAGTTTGGGATACCACTACTTGAAAAATTATACTGTACCATTGAAAATTTGTTTAATGTTTGGTTTGATTTAGAACATCTTTCCAATGAATGCTTAATTTGAAACCATCCTCTCGGTTGAAATTGTGTCTGTGTTTGTAAATCTGAATTGCATCGTGGACACATCTCTGATAAAAAAACCCGTGGGTTTGCAGAGAACCTTGGTATCGGAGAAAACTATATCGTGATCACCCACAGCGTTGTAACAGCTATGTAACAGCTATTAACAGTAACTGGGTATACACTACACTATATAATGAATACCATATAGTAAACCAATAAAAAACTAAAATATAAACTATCTCAATGTTATCAATAAACTCTATATATTCTCCAATCAGCTAAGCTACCAACAATAAGTCATTCTATATCACAATGTTGGTAGCTTAGCTGATTGGAGAATATATAGAGTTTATTGATAACATTGAGGTAGTTTATATTTTAGTTTTTTTATTGGTTTACTATATGGTATTCATTATATAGTGTAGTGTATACCCAGTTACTGTTAATAGCTGTTACATAGCTGTTACAACGCTGTGGGTGATCACGATAAAGTTTTCTCCGATACCAAGGTTCTCTGCAAACCCACGGGTTTTTTTTATCAGAGATTTGTCCACGATGCAATTCAGATTTACAAACACAGACACAATTTCAACCGAGAGGATGGTTTCAAATTAAGTATTCATTGGAAAGATGTTCTAAATCAAACCAAACATTAAACTAATTTTCAATGGTACAGTATATTTTTTCAAGTAGTGGTATCCCAAACTTTCACAGCCACTTATTTCCCTTCACACCAACATTATGTAAACTCCTTCCCCCCCCACCCCCACCGTGCCGGTCCAGTACATCAGTTTATGCTAATTCCTTTGTCAAGGCGTTTTTTGTTTCCTCCCACACAGCTTAAAGGACGCGACCTGGGCTTGGCTGTCTCCACTCCAACGCTGTCCTCCAGACAGTCTCGTCCCCTTCACCTGATGAAGGCCGCTTGTGTTGTGGCCGAAACGTCGTGAGAATATTATTGTGTTATTTTATTTTTTTATTCTCATTCTACGTGACTTTACCGAAAGAACCAAAGAAGATGAATCCTTGCAGTCACGAAAGCTTTAAATCGAAAAATGGCTGAGCAAGTTATCATTTTTTTGATATGGCTGAGCAAAGTTATTTTGTAGATTTTTGGTTCGTGTTATAAACAGTAAAATGATTAATGACGTAATTTCTCAACAGTTTGTCAAATGACTACTAAATGCAACATTTTCTTTTTGAAGGGTGACTTAGTTATTTGTGAAACCGTGTTGTTGTGATTCGGTGTGGGCTGGGTGTGACTGGGCTCTGCTGGAACCTCAGGGCTTTAGCCGCCAATCATCACTGCTCTTCAAGATTCTATCCAGCGTGCGGAGCCAGCAGAGCAATCCTAACCTGGCCCAGCTGCTGCTGCGGCTCGATTACAACAAATACTACACACTGGCGGGAGGCACACTCGGCAGGTGAGAGGCATGCTGGGTGAGTGAGAGGCATGCTGGGTGAGTGAGAGGCATGCTGGGTGAGTGAGAGGCATGCTGAGTGAGTGAGAGGCATGCTGGGTGAGAAAGTGAGAGGCATGCTGGGTGAGAGTGAGAGGCGAGCTGGGTGAGAGAGTGAGAGGCATGCTGGGTGAAAGTGAGAGGTGTCTTGGGTGGGGGTGAAAGGCATGCTGGGTGAGAGTGAGAGGCATGCTGGGTGAGAGTGAGAGGCGAGTTGGGTGAAAGAGTGAGAGGCGTGCTGGGTGAGAGTGAGAGGCATGCTGGGTGAGAGTGAGAGGCATGCTGGGTGAGAGTGAGAGGCAAGCTGGGTGAGAGTGAGAGGCTTGCTGGGTGAGAGAGTGAGCGGCGTGTTGGGTGAGAGTGAGAGGCATGCTGGGTGAGAGAGTGAGAGGCATGCTGGGTGAGAGAGTGAGGCATGCAGGGTGCGAGAGTGAGGCATGCTGGGTGAGAATGAGAGGCATGCTGGGTGAGAGTGAGAGGCTTGCTGGGTGAGAGAGTGAGAGGCAAGCTGGGTGAGAGTGAGAGGCATGCTGGGTGAGAGAGTGAGAGGCATACTGGGTGAGAGTGAGAGGCATGCTGGGTGAGAGTGAGAGGCGAGCTGGGTGAGAGTGAGAGGCTTGCTGGGTGAGAGAGTGAGAGGCAAGCTGGGTGAGAGTGAGAGGCATGCTGGGTGAGAGAGCGAGGCATGCTGGGTGAGAGTGAGATGCGAGCTGGGTGAGAATGAGAGGCGAGCTGGGTGAGAGTGAGAGGCATGCTGGGTGAGAGAGTGAGGCATGCTGGGTGAGATTGAGAGGCATGCTGTGTGAGGGTGAGAGGCGAGCTGGGTGAGAGTGAGAGGCTTGCTGGGTGACAGTGAGAGACGTGGTGAGAGAGTGACAGGCATGCTGGTTGAGAGAGTGAGAGGCGTGCTGGGTGGGTGCACTTCGCCCACTATGAAAAGCAGACAGCATCTACTTTATAGTTAATACATCTGCAATATTAACCAGGGTGGTCTAAATTTATAGCTTTCTTTATTATCAGACATTTCAATATTGGAAGCACACTGGTAAATTATTGTTTGCTTATTTTTGTTTTTCAGTTTTGGAATTTGAAGTTGAAAAATAGGTGGATCCACAGACAGTGTTCCATGATTCACGTTGGGCAAATGGAGCAATGCACTTACAATGCCGAGTTGCTCACGGTCACTATAGTTTAATTTGGGTTTAAAATAGGTGATTGTGAACTATTGTGTTTTTTCCAGTTCTCTTTATCATTTTGCTTATATGAGCATCAGTTTGTGATAATCCCCCACCACCACTACGATATAAATCGTCGAATTACCTACATATGCTTCAATCTTAAATGTGTTTTTATCATCAAGTGTGATGAGTGTTGCCTCCCTGATCGTTTTACATATAGCCATGTAACAATTAAATAAATTGTCACAATGTTGTGAGTTCATTAAAACATATATTGTCTTGTTTGTATTGTATTGGGTTTGTTTCCCATTGTATACATCTCATTATTACAGTTTAATTTACCGAGTTATTCTAACAAGCATGTATACAGCCCTGTCAATCTGCTGCTGGATGAGGGCCTCCGCAGGCCGTATGGGTTCTAGGGGTTATTTGGCTATAACTCACCATGCTAGTTAGTGTGGGTTGGTGAAGGTGGGGATTATAGAAGTATAAAACTATATTTTGGATATTTATGCACAACTCTCGGTTGTCGACTGCGTCGCCCTTCAAACATATGACTACCTGTGTGTTTGTGTCCTCAGAGTAAAGTGAATGCAAGCTAGAAACAAGTAGGTGGGTGTTATTCTACTGGGGTGCATTTACGAGATAACTTGTCAACATGTGTTTTTAAGATGGTACAAAAAGCTGCTGGCATCTGAACATTACAAATCCTTGTGTTATCACCTTGCACTTTAGCCCTTTAAAAGGCGATTGCCAAATGGCGTTACTTGTTCCAAAGCTCAAACTCCATAACCTTTTGGGCGTGGTGTGACCAAAGCTGCTTTGTTGAAGGCTGCCTTCATTTCGGATGAGCAAGAGAACGGGAGAAATGGGGCTTAGATATTCCATTACTATGATGTTTATGAACACACTCCTCGGCCTGGTTCCCTTCTTGGTCCTTGGTACATGCAGCATCCACAGCAATACAGTTATCAGAACAGTGGCGAGGGGGAAACTACAGGGCTTGCGCATAAACCTCGGTCAAGGCATATCTGTTGAAGCGTTTGTTGGAATACCCTATGCCAAGCCGCCTATTGGGGACCTCCGGTTCAGAAAGCCAGTGCCTTTGGAGAAATGGGATGGTGTTTATAATGCCACCACCTTCTCACCAGCATGCTACCAGAAGCCGTGGTTTTTGGAGGAAATAAGTTTTGGAAAATTTGACCACTTTGATGAGGATTGCCTTTACTTGAACGTATTCATCCCAGAGGTGAGTGAAAATAAGATGTAATATAAAATTTTGTAATTTCGTGCAGATTTGTCTGGTTAGGAACAAGTCTACCCAAACCTAGAAAAATATGCTGCTTGTACAGTCGAAAAGTATCTGCTTCAGCACCAGTCACACTTAACAGCTAAAACGCCCAAGCTCAAACTCCATTTTGAAATGGATTTATCTTTGCTGAATATATGTGTGAAATTTTACATTAGTTTTGCCTAATTTGCAACATTTTCACAAACTACGCCGTAAATGTCACAGCTCTACAGAAATGTTTGCATATTTGTAATAGTTTCCATTCACATATTCTATTTTAATGTGTATTGTTAGAAAATATTACTGGAAAACTAATTAAAACATGTTAGGCAAAACGCCACCTCGAGAGCGAACCAGATTTATGGACAGTTTTATTTTTAACCACATGCAGACTCCATGAGATTCTAAAGAAGACGATGCATACGGATTGCACCGAGATACAGAAACATGGAGTGGCAGCCAAAGGAGAGAACAGGAGAATACGCCCACTGCGGAGACAGATCAGCTCGTGTGGTTTGGGGAGGCTTCATCTACCAGTCGATAGAACATGGATGTGCTATTTTTCCAAAGTATAATACCTGAGTAATGTCTAAGCCATAGTTTGCTATATGTACACTGATCACAATGCAATCAGAGGCACTGTGGCATCTGGCTCACAATCAGGTTCCGAATTCAAATCCCAGTCGGGGTGAACTCTGCACGCACTTCCCATGGGGCCAGTAACACGAGTTACTATGTTGTAGGAAGCCATTGGTGGATCTCCTAAAGAGAAAATTGTCTTGACGTGGAATTGTGAAATTTACACGTATGGGTCAGAGCCATAAAGATCAGTTGCACTTTTATGATAATTGAAAGGAACTGTGGGGGCTGACGTCCACCCCACCGCCCTCGCTGGGCACGTGGGGCGCGACATCCGCCCCTTTCCACTACACCGCGTCGGTCGGCTCCCGCCGGGCCCTCGCCAACCGCGCTAGCGCCCTCTCTGAGGGACATACTCATGCTGCTGGCTTACAGCCGCACAGAGTAAACCCACACACGCCCGCGTACACCAAAGCTAATGCTAACGCAGGGGTGCGAACACGCTCGCACCTGTGGGCAATTATATCCTAACACGTGCATACACCACAGCGAACGCGTGTTTCTCCACAGTCGCTCCATACACAAATCACCGACACCACACCGATGCTCTGTGCTAACTTTGATTTGCGGCGCAAACCCCGCACTGCCCGGAGGGAATATTCTACAAGCAAAGCCTAGCCTACTGCGACCCAAGTCCCCAAATACACGCCTTATCACGTACCTCGCAGCTGTACTCACTGCGTCGCACGGACGCTGTGAGAGTCGGAGGGAGGATGACGAAAACACCTTTGCCTATCGCTGCCTCGTAGCAGCACTCGCTGGCATCACACGGATGCTGTGAGCGGCTCGAGGAAGCAGGATGGCAGGCAGGGGGTCTTGGCAACCAATATGTTGAAGAAGAGTTCTGTCTTGAAAACCTCGGGTTTCTCTTTTTATCCCCCTCGCTTCAAAAACCCGGGGTCGCGTTATCCGCATGACCAATCGTGCGCCTTCCTGTGATTCTCGCTCATTTCCCCTCCCTTACACAGAGTGTTGCGACGGTTACTTCGCGACCTATTGTCTATGCACCTGTAATCATTCATTTCTGACTCAACCTGTTACATCTGGAAGGGCATCCGGCTGGCAAATACACGCCCTGCTAGTGTATACTTGGTCTGGGGGAGGTCGTGGCGCTGCGATCCCATGACCTCATGGTCTGCTCGCTTATATTTCACCCCAGCCCCCCTACCTGATGACATGTATGACTCTGCGGCTGGCCCGGTGAACCTTTGTGCGCGCATACAATTTTAAGCCAATTCAGGGGCACCGCAATGTGATTTGTCCTGCGAGGGTCGGCCAATTTCCTGGCACCGGGAAACCGTGGGACTTTCCTCCTTGGGACCCTTCGGATGAAGCCCGTTGTGCCAGGCAATCCCCCGCCAGGACACTACGTGTGTGCGCTGCGGGTGTGTGCTCAGTGTGGGGGCCAGAAGCGAGTCGCGGCGCTTGCAGAGTTGTTCCGAGGCCGTGGCACCACAGAACACCCTTCAGCTTTGCCTTGGCTATATTTCACGTGAGGGCCATTCGGCACATCTAACGCGAATGCACTCTTAGGTGGACACTGCAGATAAAATGGCGGTGATGGTGTGGATTCATGGTGGCGCTTATCGATACGGGACTGCAGAGGAATACGAAGGAAGATTCTTAGCAGCCGCGGGTGTCATTCTTGTAACTGTAAACTACCGCCTTGGTCCGCTGGGTAAGTGTAGACATGAACAACTCATCACCACGACATCTTTGTCATGTTTTGATTTAAAGCTTTCGTGACTGCAGTAATTCATATTCTTAGTTCTTTCGGTAAAGTCACGTTGAAGGGAAACAATAAAATATATATAAAACAAAAAATTATCACGACGTTTCGACCATAACACAAACGGTCGTCATCAGGTGTGTCGGTTTGCATACATTTATTTATTTTTTTACGGTGTATTTATTTATTTAAAAAAACGTTAGCGCCACGCGCAGCGATTTGTCAGTTTATTTAGAAGGACGAGTCCATCTGTTCTGAAAAGAGGAGGGGGGAGACGAAAAATGTTTAATGTATGCTGTCTGAAAGCCACTGTAAGCGTGAACAATCAATTAAGACCCGAAATGGTTTATCAAATCTTTCCAATGATTGCTAAGCCAGAATCCATCTTCTCGGTTGAAATTCTCTGTGCTTGTATATGTGGATAGCCTCATGAACGAATCTCTCATGGTAGCCAGATGGCTTACAAAGAACCTCTGTCTTGGAAAAGTCAATGTCATGTGAGCCTACTGAATTATAACAATGATCTGCCACGGCCGAGGTGTTGGTCCTACCGTGTTTAAGGTCTGCTTTGTGTTCACGAATGCGGTCCGAGACATGGCGTTTGGTTTCTCCAATGTAACTCCTACCACAGAGGCAACTTAGTTTGTAGACACCAGGGTATTGTATGTCCGGAATCACATCTTTTACAGACGGAACTAGATCACGGATTTTATGTAATGTGTTGAAACGGACCTGGATTTTTCAAATGTTTCTAGCCGTTGGTTTTCACACCTGATGATGACTGTTTGTGTTACAGTCGAAACGTCGTGAGAATTTTATTTTATATATTTATTATTTTATTGTTTCCCTTCAATGTGACTTTACCGAAAGAACCAAGAATATATATAGGCTGTAGTACTTGCGTTTAGCCTGGTTTCCACCGGTGGCCACCACCAGGGCCCACTGTTATGAAAAGATGAATGCGTAACAAAGCCAAAGGAAAATAATGGCAAAAGGCACCTCTAAATGAGGAAAAAGTAAAAGCGAGCCGTTTCACTGTGACACAGCCACTAAGAGAACAATACTCCGTAAGAGGCTCTCTCGGGCCACCAGGGTGTCAATACGACAATGCCAAGTGCACGTGAGAGGCAAGCTCCAAACCGCAGCCCTAAATATCTCAGAGGCACCCCAGTCCTAGTGGCCCTGGAGGTAGCCACCGCTCGCATTGAGTGAGGATTACACTGGGATGGTGGGGACCACCCCCTCATGGTGTAGGCCTCCTGTATACATGCCAGGACCCAAGTCGCTACCCGATGCTTGGAGGCCGGACCCCCACAATGAAGACCACCAAAAAGGAAGAAGCTGGTTCCATTTGTGCCAGCTCAAATAATGATTGACATAGGTGAAGGCCCTAACCGGATCGAGCAGGTGGAGATGCGGCTCCCAAGGGGAGCGCAACGGAGGGGGCAGAAAGAGGGAAGAATGATCTGCTTGTTCACGTGGAATTGTAACAAAACCTTTGCGATGAACCAATGGTAGGTGCAAAGGATGGCGTGGTCCTTGGTGATCACCGTGAAGGGGGGGAATGGCCATCGGGGCCTGGAGCTCGCTGATGTAATTGCAACCAAGATCACCATCTTGAGAGTCTACAACCTGTCTGAGCAAGTAGCGAGGGGCTCAAATTGGAGGATCCATCAACGTGTTAACCAGCAGATACAAGTCCCAAGGAGCGAGTAGCATGATCCAGAGATCGCAGTATATAGTCGTAAGGTGCAGTACCACGACCAAATTACCGCGAGCACAATATATCACAGTATATAAGCACTGCAATCCACACAGTACCATGGCCATAATGACCACGGAACTGCAGGTTCCAACACAATCTACCTAATAATAGGTTACTTTAATCTATTCCCAATGCGGGCGAGTGAAGATAACTTGTGCAAGCCAGAAATCACAAACACCAAAAGTTAGTGTTTCCAATGTCACGTGATGGAGGCGCAAGCCCTTCTACCTACAGTTTCTTCATTATAGATTAAAGGCGCAGAGACTGAGTTCATCACTTCATCACAGTGAAGTATGGCCATGACCACCAGGCGAATAACTCATTACTATTAGATTAAGAGCTACTTTTGATACGGCCGTTATTAATTTCTTAAACTATACTCTTTGGTTCTTTCGGTAAAGTCATATAGGTAGAAAAATAATAATAGATGACAACGTTTCGATCGCCACACAAGCAACCGTCTTCAGGTGGAAGTGAGAAACAGGCTGCTGAAACAAGTCCTTATATGTAGAGCGGGGAGGGGGGGTTGCCGCATTGGGCAGGAGGGTGGGGGCTGGAGCTTGTGCTAATGACGGCACATCAGCCACTAGGGGGATAGAGCGCGCAGCAGGAGACACAGAGGGAGACACACAGAGCGACACAGAGAGAGAAAGACACACCTAGAGAGACAGACACACCGAGACAGAGATACACAGAAAGACACACCCACACACAGAAAGAGACACAAAGTGACAGAGAGAGAGAGACACATAAAGACACACACACACAGAGAGACATACAGGGAGCCACACAGAGAGAGACACACACACAACATCACAGCCAGTTGTAGTCTACTAAAAAACGAAAGCCACCACCACATCGAGGGAAAGGATGCAACGTTGGCTTTGTTAGTGAGACATTTAGCCCGTTAACGTAAAGACATTTAACTTGGTAATGTAACTCAGAGAGTCGAAAAAAACCTGCTGACAATGGCAGGTAGGATGGAAACATCAACGACCAGTTAAAGCCACAGAGACACACAGAGGGACAGACACCCAGAGAGAGAAACACAGAAAGACACCCACACACAGAGAGAGACGCACACATCCACACAAAGAGAGAGAGAGACATCCACACAAAGAGAGACATACAAGGAGACACACTGAGAGACTCAGCCTCAAATGAGTACCTGGTGCGATGTGTAAACATCGCCGCTAGGGAGACAAAGGCGGCCGGGCGTGGTGTTGGCCACCCCACCCCCTCGTGTGCCGTGCCGGCCTTTATAGGTGCTCGCTAACAGCACTTGCCCCTAGAGTCTGTTAAGGCTATACAGGGGATCTTTATCTTTGTCTCCTGCTGCGCGCTCTATCCCCCTAGTGGCTGATATGCCGTCATTGCACTCGACCCTCGATCATCTCCGCGCCTTTCCTTCACCCTGTTCAGCGCTTTATCCCCCTAGTGGCGGATTTACCGTCACTACACATTGACATGCTAATCTCTCACAATACAATGGCCACATCCTCAGCACAAGCTCCAGCCCCCACCCTCGTGCCCGATGCGACAACCTCCCTCCACCCCTCGGCTCTAGATATAAGGACTTGTTTCAGCAGCCTGTTTCTCACTCCACCTGAAGACGGTTGCTTGTGTGGCGATCGAAACGTCGTGATCTATTCTCATTTTTAAACCTACGTGACTTGACCGAAAGAACTAAACAGTTTGGATTCCTACAGTCACGAAAGCTTCAAATCAAGATTCTGAAACTCTGCCGTAATTTTAGGCATTGGTGCCTCTAAGAGATTGAAAAACACCCAAGCCACCAGTAGCATCTGTTCTCATCATTGCATGTGTAGCTATGCATATCACATGCAAACGACATGATTCACTCTTGCAGGGCAATGTTTATGTTTCTGTAAGATAATTTTACTTCGAAATTTTAAACAGTATTCTTTCCGAGGGAACGTTCGAAACAGGAAATGAATTTCATTTTATATTGCTTTTATGTTCTGCTTTCATCATTTTGGTGACCCAGGTCCCTCTTGCAAACGTGACTCGTCCTGGTCTTTTGGTTTGCCACCTGATTAAACAAAATCCACTTGAAACTATTCTGTGTTAAAATGACTGCCTTTCCCAGGGTGGCTAAGCACTGGAGATGAGCAATCCCGAGGAAACTACGGACTCTGGGATCAACACGCTGCCCTGATGTGGGTGAAACACAACATAGAATCTTTTGGAGGAGACGCAAACCGGGTGACCATATTTGGAGAGAGTTCCGGCGGTGGAGGCACAGGCTTGCATCTCTTCTCTAAGCACAGCCAAGGTGGAGCTTACACTGATACTGGCCTTCAAAGGCTGCCATTGTCTTTACTAAAATACATGTGACCATCACTATAACAGGTTAAGCCAAAGCAAAGTGTGCGATACCAGAAAGTATATTTTTTTATAAACACGCAGGCTCATGATCCATGTCCACCAGTGGATTCACGACGGTTAAATGTGAAGACACTTGTGGGAGTGCTCTTGGACATTTTGGTGTGCAAGTAGGCGCCATGTTCATGTTGAGAAGCCAAGGGCTGATGATGGACGTTGAGGGGGGGCACAGCATGTGGCAAAAATTAGGAGCAGCCGTTTCCTTTATGCTGTTTTCACGCACCCACAATGAGTGAGTCATGCTCGTGTTGTGTAGCAGCGCCGACTGGCGACTATGAGTAGCAATTGCGGGTGTACCCACCCAAGGGGAAGATCTGGGCCAAGGGTCATGAAAGGGATCCATCTTTAAGCTCCCAGAACCGGCTAGATGGTTCCAGAAGGGGGGCGTGGCCAGGGCATGGCCGGGCTCCGTTGGAAGGATAAAAGGGGCGAGAGAGGAAACTCGGGGCTGTCCATGGGAGTCAGGGTCGTCTCGTCGTTGATGCCATCTTCGTCGTCGCCGCCGCTGCTGCTGCCGTCTTTGTCATTGCTCGACGTCGCCGCTGCTAGATAGTTCGCCAGCTATCTAGTCAGGACCGTCGTTGCTAGGCAGTCAGTGTTGTGTTACTTGCTAGCGAACGTAACAGTGTAAGTTGTGAGTAATAAATAAGACGGTGCCTCTACAGTTTATTGTCTCCTGAGTTGTACATTACACTAGTAACGAGTGGATTCGTGTAGGAGACGTTTCCCATGGTGATTGTGCTTCCGTGTCTCCAGGACTCTTCCAGGCGGCCGTGTCTCAGAGTGGATGTGCCCTAGCTCATTGGGCCATCCTCCTTCCCCCCTGGAAAGCTTCAGATACAGCAGCTCAGCTGGCAAATGCCCTGCAGTGTCCAACATCCCCCACCAAGGACATGATCACGTGCTTAAAAACCAAACCCGCAGAGGTGTTTCATGACGTTGATGTGAAGGTAAGGCACAGGGAGAGACAAAATTACCATGGATGTCCAGGATCTCATCAGGTCCCAGAAGCTGAGCGGGATGGAGCCTGCTTAATACTTGTGTAGTGAGTTCAACTGAGTCGCAGACGTATACAGGTAGTCCTCTACTTATGATGGAGATGCGTTACGACGACCCCATCGTAAGTCAAAAATATCGTAAGTCGAAGATGGCCTAGCCTACCCAGGGGTCTTAAAGAATGGTGATAATTTAGCAAAACAGAGCAATTTACAGTACCGTACTATATAAATGATATACTGTATGTATTAATTACAATACTGTATTGCACAGTACAATATAAAGTTAAAAAACAAGGTAAATTCTTAGCCTACCTATATGAACTGCAAATTAATAGAAAGTTTTTTCAGGAAACAATCCTATCTGCTATAAAAACTTTTAACATGCATTTTACAATTTTGTCGTATCGCTATCTCCATCGTAAGATCGAAATATCGTAAGTCGGACCATTGTAACTCGGGGACTATCTGTATTTGGAGGCAACACATTCATTTAACTCCAACACAAAGGGGTAACTTCCCCTAACAGAATAACAACCTATGGTGGTGACCACCAGACTAACGACACTAATTACAATGGAACTAGCTACTACGGACTGGGACCACAGCTCAAGTCCAGGTCCACGTGTTGGAGACTCGTTGATCGGAGAACGTAGAACGTAGACATAGACGAAGGTTTCTTCAGGGTGAACAACAACACGGTCCCTCTGGGGGACCTGGCATATATTTTCTGCAGATTGGCTGAATCCGCGCTTGGTCACGTCCACCTTCCAGAATCCTCAAGTAGGATCTGGACCCCGACCACCCCTAGCCCCCACTTGGGGCCCCTTTGTAGACTTAACTGGTCACGTGTACTATTGGGTCAACCAGAGTGCCATGGGCTTTAGTAACCGCATTCCTACGGCCGGCACTCCCACACCCTGTCCTGTAGGGGCTGGCACTGCACGCCAAGCGTGGTGCCACCCAGCGCTATGAATCAGCGCTCACCGAGCCCTTCTAGGGCTGATTCTACATCCACACCGCTGTGGTGTCCGCGATGTCGTTACACTGCACGCCGTGACCCTCTAGGGCCGGCACTGCACAGTGACATCCCGCGACGTCACTACACTTGGATAGGAAACTGTAGTAGCATACCAGGCTTGGGCTGCAAGTTACTTAATAATTAGCGTTACAGCTAAACATTGAATATATTTGTGTGGAGGTTGTCACTTCCTTTTGAATTGCTTTTCTTCGGCTATTCCAGTTTCCCAAACTTTATATACTAATTAATGGTACAGTATTGACTAAACATTCCGATTGCAGGACCCTCTTGAAAGGGAGTGGCTGGACTAAGTGTGGCTTTCCTGGGTAATTGAAATATGCAGCCCATGCAAATGTATTTCTCGTGTCAGTGCTGGCAATAGAGCCTCTACTGAAGTCAGCTCTAGAGGGCATTTGGACTACTCTTACAAGCTGACCAAACGTGTTGGAAGAGGTGGGGCGTACCCACACTTTCCCCCACCATACGGGATCTGCCAATTGAGACATGGGGGATTACAGAAACATGCGCCATTGTTTCAACTGCCGCGTTGGGAGAGCGAGCTGATCGCACCTGCCTACAAGCACAACGTTCCCCTATGCAGGTTCGTGCTAAGCCAGGCACATGAATGGTGTCATGGTCATATCGAGCCCAGGATGACTCCAATGGATGGGCTTGATGCACTCCGTGCTTATGGCAATTTCACCGATACAATCCCTGCAATTCGCATTGTACATTTGGGCAATTGCACTTTTTCAAATGTTGAATAGTTTAATTGCATCCTATAAATGTGTTGAGTGCTAAACTTAAATTGAGTTGTAATTAACACATTCCTGCGGAGGGAGCTGGTAGGAACATTGGGTTGCTCGGTCAATGGCCAGGGTTAACGGCGGCGTGGTGTATTCCGCAAATATGTCTGACTGTGAGGGCGGGCACAAGCCGGCGTGAGTAGGTTAAACGTTGAGTTTTATAAGGGCACCACGGGGTGACCAGCCCCACCCCTCCCACTCCCCACCCAGCCCCTCCTCACCCTCCCCACCCCACTCAGCCCCTCCCCACCCTCCCCTCCCCACCCAGCCCCACACTCCCCACCCAGCCCCTCCCCACCCTCCCCACCCAGCCCCTCCCTCCCCACCCAGCCCCTCCCCACCCTCCCCTCTCCACCCAGCCCCACCCCTCCCATTTTTTGATGCACCACGGACGGACACAATAATCCCCTGTGGACTGGTGTAACCAGGAGGTTCCTACCAGTAAGTTTGCCCTATTTATATTTTTAGACCATCTGCACAATGCAGATCATTCAAGGATAGTCTATCACATAACCAATCATCTGAAGTTATTGTATATATTCTTGGTTCTTTCGGTAAAGTCACGTTGAACAATAAAATAATAAAATATATTTTATGATTTTATTGTTTCCCTTCAATGTGACTTTACCGAAAGAACCAAGAATATGAATCACTGCAGTCACGAAAGCTTTAAATCAAAATTTATTGTATATAGTTTCTATAATCGGAGACTATGTCCAGTCAACATTCCCTTTGCTACTGTAGTGCCAGTCTTGCAGCGAATGACCTGTATGGTTCTTGCTCAATGTTTTTTAACCTGGGCAGGGTCCACCGATGATTTCACCTTGGGCACCAGTAATTGATGAAGATTTTATTTAAAGAAACCCAAGGGAACTTCTCCAGAGGGGTGAACACTCAAAAGTGCCACTGATGATCGGAGTGGTGAAGGACGAATTAGCTGAGGAATGGCGTAAGTAAACACCGTGGCATCTCACATATATATTAGTTTTTAGGCGCTCCAGTATAGAACGGCTACGTAGCTCTGTAAATTTCGTAGACCACGTTTTTATAATCTTCGATTCCTCGCGGGATTTACGCGCAGGGAATGCATTACATTTCCGCAAGAATATACGAATGATACTGAGTAGCCGTAAGTCTGTCATTACTCCGTCACATGGCTACTGCGTGGGAGGAGAGGCCTCTGTGTTTGTCGTTCTCTTTGACCTGTGATTGTTGGAGCGGTTGTGTTTTCGCGTGTGTCCGTTGGTGCACTTTGTGATGCCCGATTGTGGCGGTTTGTTTGATGGTTAAGTGCATGTTGTGTATGGTTAACATTATTTATAACGATATAATAAACTAGTAAAACAGTTACAACACTACATTATGAGACCTCCTTTGCCAGTAACAAGATATAGGAATAGGTTTTACCCTTTTAACTGGCACAAAAACTGACACCTTTATTCAAGGCATGGTTGCAATAACCACAACACAAGCAGTCAAAATGCAAACAAAAAAGACAACTCTGATAATAATATGCACTGTCCTTGAATTTGATTGGTCCACACCCGAGACAGCTTTTCTTAGAGCCTAGTCTCCATTGGTGTTGGACCAGAAGACGCCAAAAGGCATAAAACTCAAAAACAGCACACTATCAGAGTATTGAGGGCTCGGGGTGAGCATGTACATTATGATACCTCCTTTGCCAGTAACAAGATATAGGAAAGGAGGTCTCATAATGTACATGCTCACCCCGAGCCCTCAATACTCTGATAGTGTGCTGTTTTTGAGTTTTATGCCTTTTGGCGTCTTCTGGTCCAACACCAATGGAGACTAGGCTCTAAGAAAAGCTCTCGGGTGTGGACCAATCAAATTCAAGGACAGTGCATATTATTATCAGAGTTGTCTTTTTTGTTTGCATTTTGACTGCTTGTGTTGTGGTTATTGCAAACATGCCTTGAATAAAGGTGTCAGTTTTTGTGCCAGTTAAAAGGGTAAAACCTATTCCTATATCTTGTTACTGGCAAAGGAAGTCTCATAATGTACATGCTCACCCCGAGCCCTCAGTACTCTGATAGTGTGCTGTTTTTGAGTTTTACGCCTTTTGGCGTCTTCTGGTCCAACACCAATGGAGACTAGGCTCTAAGAAAAGCTGTCTCGGGTGTGGACCAATCAAATTCAAGGACAGTGCATATTATTATCAGAGTTGTCTTTTTTGTTTGCATTTTGACTGCTTGTGTTGTGGTTATTGCAAACATGATGCCTTGAATAAAGGTGTCAGTTTTTGTGCCAGTTAAAAGGGTAAAACCTATTCCTAGTTACAACACTGTTTAACACGTAGGCTGTCGCGAACAATATCATCCATATTTGTATTTACTGGCGAAATGTACTCAGATTGTAAATGTCGTGGCTTGGCTCTCCAACACACCGGTGTGCTGTACTAGTGACGAATTGGCATGTTCTGTTTATGTGACAACCCCTACTAGTTGGCTGTGTCAGGTGGTGGCGGGTTTTAACGACACATTTATATATTTACGCGATCTAACCCAAAAAGTTAAAACAATGCTGTACTCACCTCTGTCACGTAAGCTCCTTTCTCACGAGGCTCCCGTTAGATTATGGGATAATTCCATGGAGGTGGCCACAACCGATGTAATACACGAGGGTGTCCACCTCATCAGACGTTAACTTTGCTCTTCTTGAAAAGCGTACTGCAAAAGCAGCGTCCACCGAAATTGTCGCCAAAATCGACATCGCAGCCGATTGGCTGGGGAAGCGATGGCGTCATTTGTAGTGTGGCGTCAGGGGACTGTCTTGTGCCAACACCCCTCGCACTAGCCGAGCCGAGAGCACACGTCACACCCTTTTACGTCTCCCACCTCGGTCCATCTGGAACCTTCCAGAAGGTTCCTCTAATCTCCTTTCCACCAACTCTGTACCTTGGTTTCTTTCTCCGCCTCTCATTTTTCATCCTGGCCGGCGGCTGATTTGGTCACCTAATGCACAAATGGCACATCAAAAATGTGGCGGCTTGCGAGTGCGGCCACGAATCCCAAACGATCGACCACATTGTAAACAGCTGCTGTCTTCACTTTTTTGAAGGAGGAACGGACGAGATCCACTGTCTGATCAGACAATTGAGTGGATAACAAATCTAAAATTACATCTTTAATCCATAAGAGGTTTTTTAATCATATCGCGTAAATATATAAATCTGTCGTTAAACCCGCCACCACCCGACACAGCCAACTAGGAAGGGTTGTCATATAAACAGAACATGCAAATTCGTCACTCGTACAGCACATCGGTGTGTTGGAGAGCCAAGCCACATTTGCAATTTGAGTACGACGTTTCGTCAGTAATTACAACTAGCTTCATCAGGCGACAGCCAGGTTTGTGGAGAAGTCCACCTGTTTCGTTCCATACATAGAGGTGTAGATGTGGTGACCACACTTGTGTGCTCTTCTTTAGCAAAGTGGGAGGGGGATTAATGAGTCAATGTACATTATGCATGCGCATTATGCAAGCACATTGATCTTGTCCTTCCTGTCCATTGCCCGTGTTAAAATAGCCGTACCAACAGTAATCCCTATTGAAGTATGGTGGCCTGTATAGGCATGCATTTAAACAATGTATTATTTTATTATCGCTTCCACGCAGCACTACGTCACTAGGTATCTGAACGGATACAATTATTTTTATTTATTTCAATTTCGATAGATTCTCTCATTGGTCTTGGCCAGTCGTAACTAGTTTTGCACAGAACTTCAACATTATCAAAATAAATTGAGTGTCCTTGTTGGCACGCGTGTTCTCCTACTGCTGACCGTTGCATTTGGGAGAAATTAATATTTATTTGTTCTTTTAATCTCGTGCTGATCATTCGTCCTGTCTGCCCAACATAGCATTTGCCACAAGTGCAGTTAATCCAGTAAACACCTGTTCATAGCTTCGATAATACAGTACATATTTTGTACCAGATATTAATGTCTGTATTTTATGTACATATTTAATCTGCTATGAATCCATACGAAAAAAGAAGACTCTCCCTCCTATTCCCGTAAAATCTCTCCCAAGCCCTCATCCAACCCTCTGACTTATGCTGTCTGCAGCTATGGGGAGTCCATCTCAGAACAATCGATGCCCAATCCACGTTCGTGGCAATTTTCATAATCGATGCTATTTTTGGGACAAAATTTTGCATATCTCACCCCCGCAATCAGTGGGCCTTACCTGGTAAAATAAAAAAATCGTTTAGTTTTTGTGTGAATGTTAAAGCAGATTTTCCCTCAGCTTTGTAATTCTGCGGCAGTAGTTTGGATACTGGTTTCACTGTTGTGATTTATAAGTCCAGTCTAGACAAGCTATCCTGATACCATGTGTCATGCTTAATCTTCTATAAAGGCCTGAAGACATTTTTTTCTAAAGACCACACTTTAACCTCTTCCAAAACAAACCCCACTATTGTGTTGATGCTAAATGTTTCTGAACCAATGTTCCACACTGCAGCAGACAGCCCGACCATGACAAGACCTGAATTTGAAGAACAGATGAAAAATTGGGTCAACAGATTTCAAGAAAACAAAGAAGCCATTTATGAAGCACTACTCTATGAATACACTGACCACGTCAACCCAGAGGATGAAGAAATCATACGGGAAAAATTCATTGAGGTGATTGGCCACGGCTATCGTGTTGACTGAAACCTCTTCTTTGAGTACCAAGTACTGTATCTCTCCCTGTTCTCCATGACCTCTCTGTTGCGTATGGTCCTCTATGCGCATCTCCATGGCGATGTGGATGGACATCTTCCGGTCTCCACTCTTACCTCAGATTTAACAAGTGTGCGGCAGCACTGCATGCACAAAAACCTTCAGTCTTATCCAGACCGCCAGTGCAAAAAAATGCACGTGTGGCCATGTCGTTCAGGCACCAAATCGATTTGAGAAAACTTAGCTCCCAACAGGTGACAGTAAAACATACAACTGTAGATCGGTTTCGCTCTGATTTGGACTGACTAGTCTTCACTGTTCCATGCTGCCTTATGCCTCAGCACCCCATCTCTCCTCTCCACCCATATATTCCATTTCAAGGCCTGTGTTCGTCTCAGAAGCGTCTGAGCTAGGGGTGTCGCACAAGGCTCAATCCTTGGCCCTTTCCAAATCCACACACGGAACTCATGATGCAACCTCGCACTTTTCTCACCATCATTGTGTTCTTGCCGCCGTGTGCTGTGCCACGGTTGTGCAGATGAAGTCGGACTACGAGTACATCGCGCCCGCGCTGCACCACGCCGAGGGCCATGCCCGCGGTGGCTCTGCCACTTTCGTGTACACGTTCAACTACCGCACACACAGCTCCCCATGGGCCCCGTGGTACGGTAAGAATGAATACACGCACACCTGTCGGCTATAGACGCCACACTGAGCGTTACACTGGAACATCTCAGAAACCCAAACGTGGCGTGTAGATAAAACAATATAACCGGATGGAAGCTCCATATGGCCACCTAATAGAAGCGTTTCTCATCTCTTCAGCAGGTGGACACATACGCTGGCCACAGCAATCATTGATATATTTTGGCTCCATACACAATAACTCCATAGATGTTCATATTCTTAGCTCTTTCGGTAAAGTCACGTTGAAGGGAAACAATAAAATAAATATAATAGATGTTACCTACTTCTGTCAGTACTGTATTAACACGTGAATGATTTAGTCTCAGAGTGAACATGAAAAGGCATGTTTTAAAGCGGCTTTAAGTGCTCTATTAATATAAAATTGGGCCATATTTTACCTTTATCTGCAGGAGTGCCACATGGTGAAGAGCTGTATTACGAGTTTGGAACACCACTGTGGAACGATAGCATGCCCTGCCCTTGGACCTGTGGTGCTATCACACACTGGCACAACCGACAATCGTCTTGGCTGGAATCGGATAAACAGATGAGCCACTTCTTTATTCAACTGGTCACAAACTTCGCAAAATATCAGTAAGAAATGTTTAATGCTGTCAGTATACAATCATAGCAAAGTTGTGATCTATAATGCCGTAGAACTCCTCTTATCCACGACTCCTGTTATCCATGGGCCCTGGACAATCTGTGATCGTTATCTACAGGTATATTCTTCCTTAAATCTGTTTATACACAGGTAAGAATGGTTATCCACAAATGATCCGGGTCAAATAAATTCGTGGCTGATGCCTTCATGATATCTTAACTCTGCAACTCTCTCCTCTATTGCCTCCCTAGATCCCCGCATACCCGAGATGATTCAAAATTTTCTGTCAGACTGAAAATCCACCTCCGTAAATGTGACCATATCACCACAAAATTCTAATCCCCCCACTGGCCGCCACTTCAGTCCCAGGTCAACTTTAAAGATCCTCCAGATTCATCCTTGCCTACTTCTCCCCACTTGTCTTGATGTTGCTGCTGCTGTGCTCACACACCACAGATCTCCTTTGTAAAGTAGCTAGACAACTGTATAAACAAGGTAATCCGTCATCTTGGTTCTTTCGGTAAAGTCACGTAGAATGAGAATAAAACAAATGTCTTATTTTGTTTTATTGTTTTCTCATTCTACGTGACTTTACCGAAAGAACCAAGAAGATGAATCCTTGCAGTCACGAAAGCTTTAAATTGAAAGATAATCCGTGTAACAAATCACAAACACGATTTCTCTACTCCAGCAACGAAGGCAGTCTTTCCAAGCCCAGTCAGTCTTTGCTCAGTGAATGGTTGTTCATTCTCCTCTGCTGCCCTCAGTCTGGAACTTCCGTCTCCCAGCCATTCATGACTTTAACTCCGAGCTCAAGTCCAGACCTTCCTCTTTTAATATACCTGTACTGCCTCCAAATGGCTGTTAAATAGATGACAACTCTTTTGTACAGCATCCTGAGATGTGGTTGCATTTATTACAATCTAATTTTATTTAACTTTGATACGTCCAAATTCATAACTGCATGAGTCTAGCTCATGAATCCCAAGTAAAAATTCCCATCAAGCCGTTATCCTGCTGCCCTCTCCATGGTGGTAACATGTCACTTCGGTCCAATTTGTGGCAAAAAATGTTTCTTATGGTACCACGTTCCATAACATTTCATTACTCCCTCTAAAACAGCGGCACTTCAAGATTTAGTGCCGATTGAAAGCTGTTGTCGATGTAATTCCCAAAGTGCAACATCGCAACGCCAGTGTGCACACCACACATGCGGTCACTCATAAATGTGCCAAGGAGAGGCAGCTGGCATTCCATATTTTTGTTCTATTTTCCAGGCGAGTTACGACATTCAGTGAAGCACCAGATTGGAGAAGGGCAGATGACCCCACAAAGTGGGCACGAACTGCCACCAAGCAACAGCAATATATTAATGAGTTGGCACAACTCAGATGCAGTTAGTTACCAGCTTCAGATTATTCACAATGAGCTAATTTGTGCAATGGAACATTGCCCTAAACATTCCTCCTCTTTCAAGGCCACGGTGTTATTGAAGAATGTTACAATAGTGCTTGTGCAGCACTGCCAATGCAGTATTACAAAATATGTAAAATAGTGAGGTAATGCATACTTTTCAAAGATTCGCATTTGGTATTTATCTTTTACAAGCCTCTTGGATCAACCCTTCTCCAATTCCTCGAAGTACATTGTGTCTCCTTCATAAAAAAGCTAAATCCTACCAATGTCCAGGCACCTGGCTTGTCACAAGAATATTCAGTATAGTACTCTTAAACAAAATCTAAGAAAAAATCACTTGGGGTTCCTTCTTAATAAACAAATCACGAAACCCATGACCTGTGGTGCCAGCTGATCTATCACCATCGTGCCCGCGTATGTTGCCGTCAGTTATCGCTCGTCGCACAGCTCTAAAGGTGATAGACTCCATGTTCCCTTTGGCCTTGCGCTTTATTTTAAACGAGGGCCCCTATGTTAATGTCCTCTACTTTAAACCTAATTTCCATCAATGATCTCTAAAGGGAGACCTACACCGGTATACGTTCACGTATGAAGCAACTGCTGCAGAACTCATAAATCATCCACAACGCTGCACCTACCTGGAACACCTTTGCTGTCCCTTCCGTAGTCAACACGTCCCCCATAAACTCGCACTCTACAACACGGACACTTTGCTTAGGCTGTTTGAATGCTTCTGATTGTTGTTCCCTCATTTGAGTCTTGCCTCGTTTTCCAGTAGCATTCTCAATATTTGTTAGATTTGGTTGTAAGTGCAATGACATTGTCATGTGCCTTGGATTACTTTACAGAAGTACTGACCATTGCATAGATTTGTAACGATGTGCTTTCTCGCAATTATACCACTTGGTATGACTATTCGATGTAACAAAATATTTTTTAGGCTTGTGGTCAATGCAACACCAGAGTTGGCTGTAGGAGCATGCGGACTTCTTGAATTGTACAAACAGGAATTTATAATTTTGCATGCACGGTTCAACACGTGTCACGAGCGCAATGTTTGATTGTGATTAACCAACCAATGTCTTATTGCGTTGCCTAACCAAGCATCCCTTTGCTCAGTGATCCGACGCCCGCAATCCTGAACATGAGCACTGCCTGGCCAACATTTGATCTTCGACAGCGCAAATATCTACACATCGACACAACATCTGAAGCTCGAAGTGACTTGAGGGCACGAGAAATGTATTTTTGGAATAACTATTTTCCGAAAGTCATCAACAGGACCTCACCAGAGTCGTGCAGGAGCTCAGCAAATACATTCCATTCTGGAGCTGCGGAGTTTTTTGTTGCTTGTGCATTGCTTTTGCTACACCTACAAGGTTAAGTTGGGAAATCTCCCATCAGAGCAGAAATAATGTTTAAATTTCACAATTGTGCCTTTTGATATTAAAAGATAGCCTCGAAGTTAATGTCAAACGTGTTCAAATAATTGCAGTCAGCCAACTTATTTGTTAAATAATATAAAAAAATTATGTAATGTCACATTACAAATCCAACCGACTGGCACTGTGGCTACAGCATATCTCGCTCTGAGGCTGAGAGTTCAATTCCAGCCTGAAGGTGAAGTTTACTGTTCATCCCTTACTTTACTATCTGGACCTGGACACATCTCCAAAGTTGTACCAAATCCCCAATAATCTAACCATCCTCTGGCAGCTGTGACCTTTAGAAGAAGGAACAAGACCTGCCAAAACAGACATCAACAAAGACCAAGGTTCAGGTGAACAAATCTATAGTAGTTCCAGTACTGCGGTTTGGTGAAGAATGTTTTACGACAGGAAACGTTGATGAAAGAGAGATCTTTATGTTCGAGATGAACCTGGCCAAGTATTCTAGGAGGTCTGAGACCGCAGAGACTGAAAATCAATAAAAATGAAAAATGGCTCAAATTACCAGTTCAGATATATCACTCACCACTAATGTGAACCATGGCCATGGTTCAAACTCTTAAGTTCGTGGCAGTGTGCGAACCACTACACCACCAGCTCTAAAATCGACCAATCTGAACGCTGAAAAAGTTTATGTATGTTTAAATTATTTCACACCATACATTGACAAACGTGCTAATTTTGTACAAATAGTGACTTCTATAACCCTTTGAGTAACCTCTGATACCCATGATGTGAAAATAACTTCATGTTCTGGTACTATTGACATAACTTTCAAGATTAATGTACGACTGATAAGACGAACAATAAAATATCTACTCTGAGCATTAAAACAATATTGTGGAAGTGTGTACAAGCGTGTGTACTGTCTGGCATACTGGTACTCTGAGGACACTTTGAGTATTGTGTTTGAGTTTTAATAAAATGTAAATACAATCGCTTGAACAAAATAAAATAGTTTAACAAAGGCCTTCCAAAGTGAAACAGTCTACAAATACTAACACTAAAAACGCAATAATATGCTTGGGAGAGGAAGCATCACTCAGACCAACATCCAGCACTGCGACTTGTCCACTGGAAGACAGAGCTGTGGTATTTGTCATGCTCCCCCCATGTTCTGTGCGGTCTTCCTCGTCATGTTCCGCAAGACCGATTGGAGTGTTCACTCTGCCTCCTTGCCCGTGGCTCCTGCCGGAGTAGCACACAACAGTCACACCCGGCACACGCCCTCCTCTCACAAGCAATGCAGTGTGGCCCTTAAAGCTCAGCGCGTGCCCCTTGCGAACCCCTCCGTGGGCTGCACAATTCGGAGCAGTGTGCATATTGTGTGGAGGCAAGGGAGATATTAAGCTCTGGGAGGCGAAATCTTACTGTCAGGCTCTGCTGTCCACAGCGCATTCCGGACAAATCTGGATGCAACGCCCTTGTCCAGCTTCGCCATCTTCTTCCTATCGGTGATCTCCTTTAAACGCTGCATGTGCGTCTTGATTCGGTCCTGCACATGTCACCAGTGGTGGCATAGCGGGAAGGTGGGTGCGTGTGATCCACATGAATACAGTCAACAGAGGCGGCTCGGAAAGAGGCCAGGACTGCAGCTACGAGTAAGGAAATCACAGAATATCACGTGTAGGACCGCGAGCGGCAGGGTAAGCTGTGGGTAACTCACCATCTCCTGCTTGATGGGGTGCATCTTAGGGTTCACGCCCTGGCACACCAGGTACACTGGTGTGGAGAGAAACAATCAGAACAACACCGTGACAGCCACAGCAGATGAGTACAAACACAGTAAACGCTTGCGAATCCTATTCGAGCACCCGCTACCTCGAGCCATTAGAAAATGCTATGAAATTTACATCAACTTTATAAAGGACTTGCAACAAAATTTCCCCAGTTTGCCACTCAAATGTTTAAAGTGACGAGTTGTTCAAATTTGGTCTCACATTAAGAAAAAAACCCATCAATGGCTTACCCAGGTGTGCATTGCTCACCGCACAAGGTGAATGCAGTGGGGGAATGAAAACGCAAAGCCTCCTGGATTGTTCTCAATACACGTGGTAATGTCACCAAAAGAGGCAATGTATCTCAATGGAGTTATATTCTTAGCTCTTTCGGTAAAGTCACGTTGAAGGGAAACAATAAAATATATATAAAACAATAAAAATTATCACGACGTTTTGACCATAACACAAACGGTCGTCATCAGGTGTGAAAAACCAACAGCAAGAAACATTTGAAAGAAATGTCGGTTTGCATTTATGTATTTTTAAACGGTGTACTTATTTATTTATAAAAAAACGTCAGCGCCACGCGCAGCAATTTGACAGTTTATTTAGAAGGACGAGTCCATCTATGTTCTGAAAAGAGGAGGGGGGAGACGAAAAAATAATGTATGCTGTCTGAAAGCCACCGTAAGCGTGAACAATCAACTTAAGACCTGAAATGGTTTATCAAATCCTTCCAATGATTGCTAAGCCAGAATCCATCTTCTCGGTTGAAATTGTCTCTGTGCTTGTATATGTGGATAGCCTCATGAACGAATCTCTCATGGTAGCCAGATGGCTTACAAAGAACCTCTGTCTTGTAGAAGTCAATGTCATGTGAGCCTACTGAATTATAACAATGATCTGCCACGGCCGAGGTGTTGGTCCTACCGTGTTTAAGGTCTGCTTTGTGTTCACGAATGCGGTCCGAGACATGGCGTTTGGTTTCTCCAATGTAACTACTACCACAGAGGCAACTTAGTTTGTAGACACCAGGGTACTGTATGTCCAGAATCACATCTTTTACAGACGGAACCAGATCACGGATTTTATGTAAAGTGTTGAAACGGACCTGGACCTTGTGTTCATTCAAGATTTTGGAGATCTTTTTTGTGATCCCCGCAATGTAGGGTAAAGTGATGGTTTTGAAAGGCTCCTCAAGAGGGTCCTTCTTCATGGTTTGAGTGATAGCTTTGCGGATTGTATAGTCGGAGTAACCATTAGCCTTAAGAGCTTGGTGTACGTGCTTGAGTTCACTGCCTATGTGTTCCTGGTCGGATATGCATTGGGCTCTATGGTACAGAGTCTTGATGAGATAATTCTTCTATGATGGATGGTGGTGGGAATCCGGTTTCAGATAAGCATCCGTATGGGTAGCTTTCCTGTAGACAGAGTGGCTCATTGAACCATCAGGTCTCTTTTTTATTAGGACATCCAAAAAAGGTAGCTTGCCATCTTTTTCGACTTCCATGGTAAATCTGATGACTGGGTGTATGGAATTGATGTGGTCGAAGAATTGGTCTAGAGCAGGCCGGCCATGTGGCCAGATGACAAAAGTGTTATCCACGTACCTCTTCCATAAGGTTGGGCGCAGAGTGGCAGTCTGGATGGCGTCAGTCTCAAATTTCTCCATGAAAATGTTAGCTATAACCGGAGATAGGGTGGAGCCCATTGGGGTGCCCTCAGTTTGTTTGTAGAAAGTTCCATTCCAAGTGAAGTATGTATACATTAATTTTTTGTCTCCCCCTCCTCTTTTCAGAACATAGATGGACTCATATTCTTAGCTCTTTCGGTAAAGTCACGTTGAAGGAAAACAATAAATATATAAAACAATAAAAAGATGGACTCGTCCTTCTAAATAAACTGCCAAATCACTGCGCGTGGCGCTGACGTTTTTTTTTATAAATACACCGTTTAAAAGTAAATAAATGCAAACCGACACTTCTTTCAAATGTTTCTTGCCGTTGGTTTTTCACACCGTTTGTGTTATGGTCTAAACGTCGTGATAATTTTTATTGTTTTATATATATTTTATTGTTTCCCTTCAACGTGACTTTACCGAAAGAGCTAAGAATATGAATTACTGCAGTCAAGAAAGCTTTAAATCAATGGAGTTAGTTTACCATGTGGTTAAAGGAGACCGACTGTGCTGCACAGTTACTATAAGAACATGACAAGGGGATTCATTCTCTAAGCATCCCCTCCACCGTGTCGCACAACGGACTTACTCCAGAACATGGAGTTGAGGGTATACGCAGACATCAGGTCCAGCTTGGCTTGCTCCAGTGGATCCAGCTGAATATAAACAAAGCAGGACTCATATTCTTAGTTTTTTCGGTAAAGTCACGTTGAAGAGAAACAACAAAATAACAAAATATATATATTTATATTATATAATATATATATTTATATATATTATATATATTTTGTTATTTTGTTGTTTCTCTTCAACGTGACTTTACCGAAAAAACTAAGAATATGAATTACTGCAGTCACGAAAGCTTTAAATCAAAATTTAAAGCAGGACTCATCAACAAACATCACCAAGTGTGACCACGGCTATTTGGGCCATGTCGACTCAATAAACGTTGAGTTGTCTCGTCGTCAGAGCAAGGGTGTGTGCCATTAAGAGGGGGGGGGGCACTTTATCCAACTCGATATATAATTTAATAGCCATCTTACAAACCGTGTCTTCCATGACACCGGCTGCAGCCAGACCAAGGAAGGAGTGGGCATTACTAGTCAACAAACCTACATCATCAGCAGACTCCCGAGTCACACAAATTAATCTCATACCTGTATTGGTTCCATGGTTTTCGGCTAACCCCGTCCATGTTTTGTTGAATAGTCAAGCGTGACATCAAACGTGGTATACAAAATACAGCCTTGACGAATACCTGTCCTAACATCAAACCATTAAAAATAATGAATATTTAACTGTTAAAATAAAATAGAATAAATCATATAGTCATCATACAACCTAAGTCTCACCACGAATTAACCCAGTTCACCTCACAAATGAAAATGAACCCAGACCTCATCACTTATGAATCCAGACCTCAGCACAAGCGGCCCGCGGGTCTCGTCACGAGCAGATCCCGGCCGCCGTCCCTTCCTCATCACGCCCGGGCTCCGCACCGCTCACCGTGTTCTGCCGTTCAACGCGCGGGGCCGACATGAGCGGCTCGAGCGCCGCCTCGATGCCGCGCTCGGCCGCCTGGAAGGCGCGGAGCGAGTCGCGAATCTCAGCTGGGACCTCCTCCTCCTCCGGCGCCATGGCCGTGCCTCCCTCGCTTCCTCCCACACGTGGATCCCGGAACACGTGCAGGCCGCGCTTCCGGGTGCGCCAAACCAATCGGCGCCACGACCGAAGCCCACGTGACCCAGGGCACGGCGTGCGCAACGATTGGCCTGCGGGGCTGAGGTCGGGACGAGGGCGTGGAGAGTGAAAACTCCAACTTGTGTCTGGCGGCCTCTGCCGGCATCGAGGGGAACCTGCGGCCTGGGCGACTGGGGGCAGCGGTCATGGAGCGTCACTCAGCAACGTTGGCGGAGCCTCACGCCACCTGCAGCAGAACCCAGGGAGGGAAGGCTCCCGGCTCCTCCGACTCAGATCCCGATTCCCCCTCAACACTGCACTGACCTCCCCAGCCCGTACAGCGGAGCGGGCCGCGTGGAAAACCCCCAAAGAGTACATCCACTCACCCCGGCCTCGGACACGAACCGTCAGACACAAAGAAGCAGGCGTGGGGCAGCAGCACCCTCAGCATTCCTAACCCTTGAGCCCTCGCCGCTCTAGAGTTGCGTGACAGGCAAGAAGCGGCGTTTGGGCTGACTGGACTTTTCGGGAATGTTTTAATTACTGTGGAACTTCTTTCGCACCGTACGTAGCTGACCATGACAATCGTGGATGCGGGGGGAAGAATAACAAACTAAACGCAAAAAATCCGTTTTTAAGAAATGAGTTTTCAACCTATAAAATTTCAAAGTGCATAGCTCCAGTAGGGCGTTCCAGACGGCCGCAGAAGTGCGTCTGAAAGCGCTTGATGGTAAAGCGTGGTCGTTATGCGATGGGCGAGTGTTGCCTGAGGGTGAATGTGAGGAGGCTGTGCAGGTGTGAACGAGCCCAGTGTGGGCACGCGCCTCAACCAAGAATAAGATCCCTCATGTAGCCTGAAGAGACTTAGAGCAAGCGCTGTGAGCAAGCACCTATAAAGACCGGCACGGCACACGAAGGTGTGGGTGGCTAGCACCACACCCAGCCGCCTTTATCTCCCGAGTGGTTTACATACCACACCAGGTACTCATTTAAAGTTTAGTCGACATAGGAGAGGCCCGGGACCGGTTAAAATAATCGTGACTGGTTGGTAGCGTAGCGCTAACTGCTACTCCACAACCTAAACCTTATTGGCACCCCACGCACAGTAAGTATCACATTTCACCGTAAATTCGTTTTAATCAATATCACATTTATTTGGGAAATATAAGAAACTTTTACAGATTATAAAACACAAAATCATTCTACAGCGATTTGTTTTCACCGCAAAATTACCTTGACATTGTTTTTGCGATTGTAAGAGCAATATCAGCAGAAAACATACCTGATATGGATTGTGAGAACTTGGAATTGTGGTCACGAACACGAAGAATATCAAACGCACACACAACCTGAGTCCCAGTAATCAAGTAATCCTCCATTGACATTCTAAATAAAAATGTCTAAATCTATAAATGCTACTATTGCTAATTTGAAGTATTCACTGGGCCCGAAACACCACACATGTGTCAAAAGTGCGCATCTGATAATATATTTTTAAAGGTTTATTGCCCATGCATAAAGCAGGGCAAGTCTATGGCCCTGCTGTACCGGCACAACGCACACAGATTGAATTTGTGCTGCGAGCATCACTCCGTTTCATTGGAGTCAGACAAGACCTGGTCCAGCAGGTAATCATCTGCAAAACGCAGCATCTGGTGTAGAGCCATGATCAGCAGGAGGTCGGAGGAGGCGTCTGGCTGAACCTGCACAGCGTAGTTCTTCACGGGCAACACGGACGACACGGGCATGCCCAGACGCGTGGCGATCTCGTACACCTTCCGCAAGCAGGGGGTGGGAGACAGGCAGGTGGTTAGTGGGCTACATCTGTCAATGTAATAAACTCGTGACATGTATTTGGCAACTTGATTAAAAGTCGAAAGAAACATTGACTTAAAGTATTAATAAGTTGGAGTGCAGTTGTTATGTTCAGCACTTGGTCAGGAACATAAGACTGGGAAGTCATGAGTTGTGGGTGTAGTGTCGAATGGAGAAAATCAGTTGGAGAGAGATAATATCCCAATGAAGACGTTCATGAGCAGGGTCAGAAGTCTAAGATGAACAATCCATAAAAGACAGATGTGGATTCGGCACATTGTCAAACGTGACAGCTCGAAGAAGGGAGTTATGCAAGGAATGGTTGGGAAAAAAGCCAATAGACAAAAACGAAAAGAGGGGAACGTGTCCTCCATTGAATGAAGAAGAGATCAAAATTGGACAGAATATCCACCGAGTTGACTTGAGTCACGAAGTCAACGTTGTACTGACTCGTCAGCATTGTGCTGAGTATTTCACTGCTATACATTTCCACATAAAACACTTCGTTGAGCTATCATTTTTGGAAGGTTGCTTCTGAAAAAGAGCTATACAATATAGCTGGGTGGGCTGTACCTGGTCAAATAAAAGTTGAGTTTAGTTTTAGTGCTGGGTGCACTGTTGTGTCGTGGGATAATGGTGGCTGGTGACGGCTTTGGGAGGCCTTATGCACCAGTGGATCATGGCTGCTGTTGATTAAAGTGTTGCTAGCAAGAATTAATGGAACCCGTGACTGAGACAGTAAAGCCTTGAGGAATGAATACCTGTTCCTTTATGAACCAACTCAGGTAAATGTTGTTTATGTCACTCTCCACCAGAGGGCAGGCTTCATCCACTTTTGTCAGAAGCACGAGGTGAGGAATGCCTGGGTAAGAAGTCTATCGTTATCACCCTCACCACATTTGTCATCCAAATCATCATGAGCATTGGGAGTCACCAGCACTATGTTCACAATCGTCGTCACTTTTATCATCTGCAAGCATATACAATGGTCAAGTATAAAGTGTTCACGAGTCAACCTATAGCGACTGCTGACGAGGATTCACAAGCCATGTTGCCGTACCTGCTGTGAAATACAGCACTTCGTGAAGGGAAGGTATACGATAGAAATCGGCGAAGCCAATTGTTTAATAGCAAAGTCCACGAGTACCTGTTAATGTTAAATAGCAAGCTGTTTACTTGTGGTAACTAGTGTAAACACGTTAAAATAAAGGGAAAACATCTGCCATGGATCTGGTAACCTTATTCGGCATGCATTACCATCCCTGTGTAGTCTTTTTGGATTACAAGTAATGCCACCTGGACAGGGGATGATTGATTACCAATGACACTGGCAACGTCATTTGATGGAAATTGTAGCAAAGTACTCATCCAGAACACCTGCATTTGGATGTTTGGCCAATCCCATCATCAGTATTTGGCATTACACCCAGTGAAGTCACGTAGGACTTGTATATGTATTTCTACTGACCGTGTACCTCGTATTTTTCATTCTATCTATGCTGGTATGTGCAATCCAAAGGTTGAACACGAAATTTAACACTCTTCTGAAATTCGTGGTCCGCCAGGAAGTGTCTGTGTTGTTGGCCTGACTGGATTTGCTTCACATGTTTTTTCAGGTTTGTTGAATTCTCCTCTCTCATCTTTTTGTTGTATTTACCTCCGTGATTTGTTCTTGACACCTGATGAAGATCGCTTGCGTTGTGATCGAAACGTTGTGATTGTTTTTTTATATAATTTTATTGTATTTCTACATACGTGACTTTACCGAAAAAAACAATTAGTAATTTTATGCAGTCACAAAAGCTTTAATACTTTATTATCACACCCAGTGCTTTTGGGCTGCTGTGTGCCGGGTGCCCTCTATCCTATGGTGCCACGTTAAGCTGCAGGGCTAAATCCGCCAGTGCACACATGAAGTGACTTTTAATTCACAATTGCCCTTGGTCCAGAGTAATACTAATTTACTTGTTTTTCCAGGAAAAGCACACTGAGTCTTAGGCCTCTTCTCAGGACAGTCCTGCTACATTGGGTTATTCTAAGGTGTTTCAGCCAATTAATCATGAGTATATTATTCACGTGGGAGAAAATACTCTTTGGTTCTATTCAGTTCTATTCGGTGATTTTACCTTGCAGTCACGAAAGCTTCAAATCTAGAATGTGGGAGAAAACCCACGCATACGAGGGGGCAAAACTCCATCCCCTTATATATGGAAAAAGATAAGAGATGAGTCCACTTGCTGTACTGCTTTCTCCTGGCGAACCAGGGAATGGCACCTCGTGTGTAGTGATTCACCAACCTGCTTATTACCCGTTTTTATGGAACACAATACATAACGTTTTTAGGCTACATCCCATGACTTTAGTCATTTTAAAGAGCAGAGGTTACAGAGAGGGCGAATATCGATGCTCAATGTTGCTGTGACACAAGGGTCTGGACGCACCCAGGTTATAGGCTTTGTTGCGCGCGTCCTGCAGTTTGCCAAGCAGCCCTTCAGGCATCGGGGACATCTTACAAGCGTCGACCACTAGCACCAGGCAGTGCGTCCGTGCCGACAGTGCCGGGTCCTTCACGTAGACGGGGTGGCTGGGTTTAATGGGTGCCAGTGGATTAAACTGCCAAACATATATCAGGAAGAGAGGTTAGTAGCGATCAAGACAAATATACGCTTGAGAGACAAGTGTGGTTTTTATCCAATCATCCTCAGCGCTCATAATATACATATAAACGAAGTACGGGACAGATATTGATAACGCTCATCTTGCCAGACTTGAGAGTTCCAGTGACAGGTAGCAGCCGGGAAAGCAGCAAGTTATGGTAATCTAGATATAAATGTTGAACTTCTTTCATACTATACATAGCCAACCGTGCTCATGGGAGGTATACAATAAGTGTTCCATTTGTATAAATCTATCACATGGAAATCGCAGGGAGTTCACCATTGTGAGTTGCATACATTGAATTCACAAATAATGGTGATGTCATGTGGCCTGTAGCAGTTGAGTGTGCAGGGGGCACCTGATAGTAATCGGGCACGTTTCCTTGGAGCACGCTCACGATGTCCTCTGGGTTTATTCCATCCCCAAGATCCTTGTCTATGCCCATGGTGTCGCAGAGATGAATAGGGAAGAACTTGCGTCCATTGTTCTTTCTCAATTTGTAACTGCGAAACTGTCACACACATGTAGAAAATAGCACACTCCAGCACATGGTACTCATGCAGTGTGAAGTATGTTTAATGTGACCAAGGTTATGTTTAGTTCTTGTTGTTGTGGAGCCGTGACACATGAAGCATGGCTCCTCAGAGACCATGTAGGCTCCGTGTGAGGGCAATGAGCTGTTTACAAACGGCCCGAATGGTGCGGCCGTGTTCTATGCGTGGCTTCTAGTTACTGCTACTACTCGTCTGGGAAAGTAAGAGAGGGCAATAGTCATACAACCCAATGTACTGTGGTTCTTTCCAATGATGTATTTGCAGCCTGAAGGTCTCACCCACCCTAGAATCGGTTTGTATGCACATTATAACGAGGAAGCTGCGTGCTTCGAGAAATTACAGGTACCCTGGCAAGAGACACGTGCTCATTCCCACGTCCATCTTCGGGGTGCCGTCGTTACCACGGTGGTGAAGCTGGACTCCTTTTCCCGGGTCCCCGCGATGGCACGACTCGACACATGTCCAGAGAAGACCGCATCGATGGAGTTTACAAAGCTTGACTTGCCCGAGCCCACGTGGCCCAGCAGCAGTATGCGTGGGTGAGTCTCGCAGTCGACTGGCACGTACCCACGAATGTCTTTCAACAAATGCTCTCGCGTCCTGGACACAGAAATATATTGGTAGCTCATGACTCGGGGTGCCGAAATGCACGTCAAGGTGCTGAGTGAGCATTTCTGAGATCTTCGGCCCAAGTCGTACTTGGCAAAATAGTAACCGAGTTTACATGTATGTGTGGTGGAGACAGCAACGACTGTGCAGCGTGGTAGACCTACTCGATTGTCCATTCAACACTGCGCCATGGGTCCGGCAAGAGCTTCATTTCTGGAAACACAGCCCTTTGTTCAAAAACGTTGATTATACGAACAAGAGTGCAACAGTTATGGGTATTGGATACACTATAAAGTTTGCAAAACACCACGTGTAAGAAATTATTATTTACAGCCCATGTAAATCAAAGTTGCAGCCTTATGATACACAACCCCCTGCTCTTTTTCCTAAACATACACTTGGTACCAGTGTCGTAACCTGTGGTCAGCTCAGAGTGGGCAACCGTTCGCAGACACCGAGAGTTGCTCTCATGAAAAGACATTTAGTGATACAATATCCGGAGCAAACAAAACGGTGCCAGATTAATTTAATTACGTTTGACAAAATTAATTTATGGAAAAATTGCAGAGACCATAAGACACAAATTACCTTCTAAGATGTATACCTCCAGCTCTTGTAGGGTATTATCATTGCCTAATATGTTCTCATTGGTTGCGTCATAAGAAGTGCCTATATTGGCGGTAAAAGTAAGTTTATTTGAGCCATCAGTGGGCAGAAAATGCATGTCATGGCCACCACCGAAAGTGGGCCCGTATGATGAGGCGTCATAGAATGCACTGCTGGATGATTTGATTTTAGCAACGAATGTGGCCGAGTTGTTTGGTTCCTCCAAGCGAAACAAGCAAGCGAGTTTGTCATCAATGTAACTTCCCCGCGATGTTAAAGACTGGGAGCAGTAGCCGCCGAATATAAAGCCTTTGGAGTTGTAGGCGACCGTGACCGTGGGGCCTTGGCCGTTGCACTTGGTGTGGAAAGCGCTGGCAGTGAACCCATCCACGCTGCCCTGGTAGAGCCTGCGCAGAGTTGAGTGTGGGAATCCCAGCAAGGTTGCTAGCTTCCTCTGCTGCAGGTACGCCAGCCCGTGCACTTGAGCCATGGCTGCTGCGGTTGGAGTCGTCTGCTCTCACAGGAGTGAAACACCGGGTTCGCCACTGCATCGTCATGTGCCGATGAAACGAGTTTCGTTCCAGAAAAAGAATCACCACGCACTCTTCACATAATTATGTAGCCAATAAACTGGCAGAACTCGTGTTAATGGCTCTCCACAAACAACCCGACAGCTTTCTGTCACAACACGTCCAAAGTTATCTGGTTGTCAACCAATTTGACATTGTAACAACGTATGATTCTTGTCCATAACTCCATTAATATTTCCCCTGTAAAGCACAAACTGGCTATAAGAGTTTAACACGTACGCTTTGGCGACCAATATCATCCATAATTGAGGTTTTTTTTGGTTAGTTCGCGTAATTATATAAATGTGTCGTTAAAACCCGTGACCACCCGACACAGCCAAGCTAGTAAGGGTTGTAACGTAAACAGAACATTTTGATTTAAAGCCTTCGTGACTGCAGGGATTCATATTCTTGGTTCTTTCGGTAAAGTCACGTAGAAGGGAAAGAACCAAGAATATAAACAGAACATGCCAATTCGTCACTAGTAGAGCACACCGGTGTGTTGGAGAGCCAAACCACAACATTTACAATCTGAGTACGACGTTTCGCCAGTAATTACAACTAGCTTCATCAAGCGACAGCCAGGGTTTTTCATGCGCTTATTGGCAATTTAAACACGATTGAACGACCCGAATCTGTACCACGCAGCATAGAAGAGGTTGGGGGTACACACACTTTACCGATTAACCATTCATACTGTGAACCTACACCGATTGAATCAGAGACATTCCACCACGGCAGCTGCCTTACATGGTAAAAGTGCAAAATCGACACTTCACGCTTCTCACACTAGCACTGCGGCCGTCAAATACAATAGAGAACACCAGGATCAAGCACCTATATACTATTTGTGAGAAATAGACAATAATCAAATGAATCTGCAGAAGAGGCACAGTACCGGCACGAGGTCTGTCTGCTTGCGATGTCTGCACTCAGTCCAATCTTAAGAAGTTATAACCCACCAGGTACAATCCACGTCTCCACACTATTTCGTTTTATAGTACAACTCGAGCTATTTACAGCCTGGACTTTACACAACTTATCTGATATCTTGCACTGTTAGAATTTACAATTCGGTTTTCAGGGACTAATGCCGCGCATGTCGCGGTTTACTGGACAGTAGATGCACCGTGTAAAGTTTTTTCATCCAGCATAAATACTTCATAAGCTCGCACTTTCCGCACTGCCACACATCATACCAAGTGTAACGGACTCGACAAGTTATATTAAGAGCCACTGTTATTTGAAGACTTCCACAGTAAGAAACCCTAGGCTTCGTGCTTCTCTTCCAGCTTGTCTTTTCCTCCGAAATTCTCCACTCGTCATGCTCTCCCCTTATACAGTGAGGGAAAAAAAGATTTCATCCCCTGCTGATTTTGTACGTTTGCCCACTGACAAAGAAATGATCAGTCTATAATTTTAATCGTAGGTTTATTTGAACAGTGAGAGACAGCATAACAACAAAAATCCAGAAAAACGCATGTCAAAAATGTTATAAATTTATTTTCATTTTAATGAGGGAAATAAGTATTTGACCCCTCTGCAAAACATGACTTAGTACTTGGTGGCAAAACCCTTGTTGGCAATCACAGAGGTCAGATGTTTCTTGTAGTTGGCCACCAGGTTTGCACACATCTCAGGAGGGATTTGTCCCACTCCTCTTTACAGATCTTCTCCAAGTCATTAAGGCTTCGAGGCTGACGTTTGGCAACTCGAATCTTCAGCTCCCTCCACAGATTTTCTATAGGATTAAGGTCTGGAGACTGGCTAGGCCACTCCAGGACCTTAATGTGCTTCTTCTTGAGCCACTCCTTTGTTGCCTTGGTCGTGTGTTTTGGGTCATTGTCATGCTGGAAAACCCATCCACGACCCATTTTCAATGCCCTGGCTGAGGGAAGGAGGTTCTCACCCAAGATTTGACAGTACATGGCCCCGTCCATCGTCCCTTTGATGCGAAGTCGTGTCCCCTTAGCAGAAAAACACCCCCAAAGCATAATGTTTCCACCTCCATGTTTGACGGTGGGGATGGTGTTCTTGGGGTCATAGGCAGCATTACTCCTCCTCCAAACACGGCGAGTTGAGTTGATTCCAAAGAGCTCCATTTTGGTCTCATCAGACCAAAACACTTTCACCCAGTTGTCCTCTGAATCATTCAGATGGTCATTGGCAAACTTCAGACGGGCATGTATATGTGCTTTCTTGAGCAGGGGGACCTTGCGGGCGCTGCAGGATTTCAGTCCTTCACGGCGTAGTTTGTTACCAATTGTTTTATTGGTAACTATGGTCCCAGCTGCCTTGCGATCATTGACAAGATCCTCCCGTGTAGTTCTGGGCTGATTCCTCACCGTTCTCATGATCATTGCAACTCCATGAGGTGAGATCTTGCATGGAGCCCCAGGCCGAGGGAGATTGACAGTTCTTTTGTGTTTCTGCCATTTGCGAATAATCGCACCAACTGTTGTCACTTTAATAATGAATTAAAGCTTTCGTGACTGCATAAATTACTCATTGTTTTTTTCTTAGGTTTGTTGAATTCTCGTCTCTCATCTTGTTGTATTTACCTCCGTGATGTTTTTTTTTTATACCTGGTGAAGATCGCTTGTGTTGCGGTCGAAACGTCGTGATTAATTTATTTTAATAAAATTTTATGGTATTTCTACATACGTGACTTTACCGAAAAAAACAATGTTGTCACCTTCTCACCAAGCTGCTTGGCAATGGTCTTGTTGCCCATTACAGCCTTGTGTAGGTCTACAATCTTGTCCCTGACATCCTTGAAGAGCTCTTTGGTCTTGGCCATGGTGGAGAGTTTGGAATCTGATTGATTGCTTCTGTGGACAGGTGTCTTTTATACAGGTAACAAGCTGAGATTAGGAGCACTCCCTTTCTCAGCTCGTTACCTGTATAAAAGACACATGGGAGCCAGAAATCTTTCTGATTGAGAGGGGGTTAAATACTTATTTCCCTCATTTAAATTCAAATCAATTTATAACATTTTGACATGCGTTTTTCTGGATTTTTTAGTTGTTATTCTCTCACTGTTCAAATAAACCTACCATTAAAATTATAGACCGATCATTTCGTTGTCGCTGGGCAAACGTACAAAATCAGCAGGGGATCAAATACTTTTTTCCCTCACTGTATATCCCCCGGCCCCCTTTCTCGAATGTTACCTATTTCCCTGACGCAATTCCTTGCCCTTTGCCTCTAACGGCTCCAAACCGTCACCTCTGGATCCACTTTGTTTCCCGCCAAATCTCATTAAAAACTTTTCCTCCAACCTTGGTTTATCTTTGAATAGCCGTGAGGCTGCACATTGGCTTGGGAACATTTTCGGTCATTAGAAAGGTGCGCGCTCGGATCCAACCTAAGTTATAATGCTCCAAGATTTAAATCCACCAATGTATTGAACTAGCGTTTCAAGAAAAAAAGAGATGGTTTTCTGGATCACACTACATACATTGAGTGTCGTTCACACACAAACTAGCTGTACTGTGGCAGAAAATTGTGATTTAAATAGAATCACACCGCTGCATGTTATATAGATTCAGACCACTACACTCGTCGCACCACTAAATAGTATAGATTCGTGCAATTGTAAATTCTAGTCATAACTGTATACATTATACAAATTCACACTGCCTGTACTATAGCTTCTACAGACGCAGATCACGATAGATTCACGCAAATGTAAATCCTACAGATGTACGTCACTGCGTTGGAGAAGTTTCCACGCTCCCGGTGACCAAGGAAGACCTGCTAAGGTCGTGGGATGCTGTCAGGGCAGATCGAGGAGGGCGCTGTGTGGTGGTAGCCATATGTGGTGGTGGTGGTGGTGGTATGACACCTCAATGTTGACACCATTGTAGAAGATTCTGAGATTATGTTATGTGTACTGTATGTATGTTGAACTTCTTTCGCACCGTATGTAGCCAATCTTACTAATCGTAGATTATACAGGTTAAAATATAGATTATACAGATTCTCATCACTAAAGTCTATTCACATTAAATGTTCATTAAATATGTATTCTCTTTGGTTCTTTCGGTAAAGTCACTTAGGTAGATTGCTTGTGTGGGAATCGAAACGTGATCTATTATTTTTTCTACCTACGTGACCTTACCGAAAGAAATAAAGAGTATGGATTCCTGCAGTCACGAAAGCTTCAAATCAAGTATAAGGTTTTACGGAGGATTTTTTCGTATATTACAGCAAGAAAATGCATGCTTCATGTGCTCGTATGAGTTCCATTTCATATGATATCTCCATAAACCACCAAGGTGATGTTTTGCAATTTCATTTAAAATTCTGGCCCATGGTATTAAGATAAAGATCCTTAAAGTGACAGCCTACTCCATGAGACATTTCAACTTCTGTACTGTCCAAAAGGAGGGTTAACGACACTGGGCAGACACCAATGAGGCATCGTCGTGCTTAGGTACCTCTGCTAAATCGTGTTGATGGGTGGAAATTGGCAATGTGTTGCATTGCTCTGCCCTGCAGTCGCAGGTGGAATTGTAATTACTAAAAGTGATGTAATGCACGTCGAAGCCTTCAGCATTACATATACAGTGGTAACTCGGAGATTGAACATAATTCGTTCCAAAACCGTGTTCAAACACCGAATCAATTTTCCCCATAAGAATTAATGGAAATAGCATTAATTGGTTCCCCACCCAAGGATGCTCCTATTATGGGCCACTTTTACACAAAGTTTACAATATTAAAATACAGTACAGTACATAAAGCATACAAAAAACAAGAAACACAGTTATAATAGAATAAATTAACTTTGAACTTCACTTTATCTGTAGTAAGGAGAGTGGATGGCTTGAGTAGGTGGTGAGGAGGGGAGGTGTCAGTTTTGCTTGGAAGGGGAGTCCCCCTCCATAAACACGTTGGGTAACTGCCCTTCTGGGGTTCTTTCTTTTCTCTGCCTTTTTTCGAGCACTGTGATTCACTTGAGGAACTTTTTACTAAAAACTGATCAAGAGAGGATTGTTTCTGCCTCCGTTTAAAGATGTTTCTGAAATTACTCAATGCATTAACATTATAAAAATCGCCTGCTCTGCTGGCTACTGCCTTGTCTGGATATTTTTCTACAAAATTGTGTAACTCAGCCCATTTTGCCACCTTTGAAAAAGGGCTTTCGTGTAGAGTTTTTTAAAGTTGGAAATTACCTGTTGGTCCATGCGCTGGATGAGAGGAGTCGTATTGGGGGCAGGAACTTTACAGTGATAAAGGACGAGAGCTACGCGTAAACTGGGTCATTCGCCTTTGTCTCGGTCGCCCTGGCTACGCGGCTCGGCCCAAACAGGTTTTTCCAGTTGTTCGACCTCCGA